TTGTTTTGTACCAGGCTTGCCAGCTCGAAAGTGTTGGCTGGCGAAAACTTGGATTTCGTGCGGACACTTTTCATCCGCAGTAACAGTTCGCCAGGGTTTTGGGTTTCGGGTGGCAAATGTGCACCGTCGCTTTAAAACCAGTGTGCACATTCAACGCGATTCGGCTTGGAAATTTGGGAGGGCGATTCGGAGAAATTTTGGGATTGGATAACGAGAAGCGACTCGGTAAAATTTTCGGGTGGTGCTTCGAGCATTTCGTCGGCGGGGAGGAAGTGGGGGGAGAGTGGAGGGAAACAAGGGGGGCGGAAAGAAACTAAATGGCGGGAGGGGACGAAAGAGAGTGGCGGGAGGGGACGAAACGAAATTGAGGCGGAAGGGGAACAAACATGGGGGGGGGATGGGGAATCAGCGCGAAATCTGAATCCCAACCCCGAAGCACACCTCGTAACCCAGGGCATCAAAGGTTAACATTTGATGCACATTCAACTGAATGTGCACCCCGGTTTTAAAGCTCAAGGCCCAAATTGTTCAGGATTACTTAAAGCTCAAGACCCAAATTGTTCAACCTTACTAAGGTTGACCGCTAGGCTGTGGGGGAGGCACTCACAAAACTGGGCGGGGGTGTTGAGCGAGGGGTGTTACACTTTCGCCCAACCCTTCGCTACACTTTCAAAGGGTGGGGGCTTCGTCTTTGGTTTCCGAAGTCCCAAGTTGCAACGTGCTGGTTCACAAGTTTCCTATCAGCAAACCATCAAAATTACTAATCATGACCTGCTCGATCCGCAATTTGGGACTTGGGCTTTAAGTTGACCCTTGGGTGGTGGGGGAGCTGAGTAGGAAAGTCGAGGTGTTTGAGGGGTGTAGGGGTTTGGTTTCGCCCAGCTTCTCGCCACACTCAAAACAAAATTCGCTGACTCAGCAAAGCCTAGGGGACGCTGCGCGAGTCCCATATTGCACAAATATTACTCTTGCCAGTTTCCCGCACCACCTGTTCCATTCGCTGACTCAAATGTTCTGGCCAATCAGATGGCTTCGTACATTTCGTAACCACAATTCGCCCAGCTAAAGCTGCAAAGCAGCACTCGATCAACCTTACTAAACTTGCCTCGCGCGGCCCGCAATTTGGTGTCAAAACATATTGTTCTGTTCATCTTACTCTAGGTTCTGTAGGGGTCACACCTTAGAGGGTACAACCCAACTCTCTCGACAACCTTGTACCCCCTCCCTCTTACCTAATTCATCATTCCTTCCTACCTAATCTCGACATGGTATTAAGAGCCAAATGGTCCTTAGGACTGAATTTTTAAACGGGCCCACCCAAAAATTTCGATCTGCTGCCCGAGTCGCGCCCCTAGGAGAAACGCGAAACGCGAAACGCGCCCTAGGCGAGACGGTTTTTCTGCCCTAGGCGCGTCCCGTCCCCTAACTGCCCTTGGCGCGATTCTTCTGCTTAGTCACGTGCGACCCCTCCTGACCGCGCCCTAGCTGCCCCGTGCGCCACTCGCGCGGCCCGTCAGCCCCTACGCCCGGTCCCCCCTCGTTCCTGCTGCTGCGCGCGCCACTCACGCTGCCCGCCAGCCCCTAGCGCGCACCTGCTGCGCGCCCTTTTTGGGCTGCTCCACGCGCACCTGTTGCGCGCCCCTGGTTTGCTAGCCCACAGCCCGCGCGCGCCTACTGCTGCTGTGCGCCGGCTGCTGCTGCTACGTGCCGCTGCTGCTCTGCCACTGCGCCCGAGCCGCTCCGTGCATTAGTGCTGCCCTGCCCCCTGCACTCGTGCCGCTGCTGCTGCTGCTACTAGGCTGCTGCTGCCGCCTGAGCTGCTGCTGCCGCCTGCGCTACTGCTGCCACCTGTGCTGCTGCTGGTGCGCTGGTGCTGCTGCTAAGCTGCTGCTCCCGCCTGCGCTGCTGCTGCTGCTGCTGCTGCTAGGCTGCTGCTGCCGCCTGAATTGCTGTTGCCGCCTGCGCTGCTGCTGCTCTTGCTGTACTACTGCCCTACTGCCCTGCTGCGCTGCTGCTGCTATTAAGTTGCTGCTGCCGCCTGCGCTGCTGCTGCTGTTAAGCTCCTGCTGCTGCTGTTAAGCTACTGTTGCCGCCTGCGCTGCTGCTGCTGCTGCACTGCTGCTATTGCCCTGCTGCTGCTGCTCGAGCCGTCCTGCTAAGCCGAGCCGCTCCGTGCATTAGTGCTGCCCTGCCCCCTGCACTCGTGCGCTGGTGCTGCTGCTAAGCTGCTGCTCCCGCCTGCGCTGCTGCTGCTGCTGCTGCTGCTAGGCTGCTGCTGCCGCCTGAACTGCTGTTGCCGCCTGCGCTGCTGCTGCCACCTGTGCTGCCGCTGCTGCCGTAACTGCCACTCCTGCTGCTTGCTGCCGTTCGTGCTGCTATGGCGACTCCAACTGTTCTAGCCTTTGACGCAGTGGGGCAACCTTTAGGGTTTGACTCCTGGCTAGAGGGGCTGCACCTGTACCTCCGGAGTGTCAAACGGGACAACGTCTCACTGTTCGAGCACACGTCGGGGTCCTTTCCGGCCCCAGAGGCTCTTGCTGAACCTACTGCTGACGCTGAGGAGGAGGAGCGGACGCAGTTCCGCGCAGCTCACCTTGCCTACAACCGGTGGATGGCGCGAGACGCTGCCGCCTCACTTGCAGTCCGCCTTCACCTCTCGTTCGACCAGCGAGCCTTCTTCCCCAGGAGTCAGGTGCCGTCGGCCCATGCTTTGTATTCCGCTGTGGTTAGGCGCTACTCCCCCCCCCTCCTGCAGTCCTAGGCTGTCTTGCGCTGCCTCTTACCTTCCCTGCGCTGTCAGACCTCACCACAGTAGCTAACGAGGGTCGTAGTGGAGCTGGCGGGAGTGGCGGGGGCGGGCACCAGGAGTTAGAGCCTTTGTGTGTCGCTGCTTGTGCGCCTACTAGCACAGTCTATGCGCACCCCTCCACTGTTCTCCCGTGTCTTGTAGTCCCCTCTGCCTCCTCTGGCTCGACCGAGGGGGATGACCCTACTGCTGCCGACACAGCGACCTCTCGCCGCTCACCGCGCTTAGAGACGCCTCCGGGTTTTCCGCCCCGGACGTGTTCGCCTCCTCTGCAGCCTGTCGCTGCGGACTGCGGGGGCCCAGGTGTTGTTGGGGGTGGTGACGCTGAGGGTTTTGGTTCTGGGGGTGCTAGTTCTGGGGGTGCTGCCTCTGGGGGTGCTAGGAGTCCTCTTGTTGGTGGAGTTGGAGGTACTGGCGCTAGAGGTGCTGGGTCTGGGGGTGCGTTGCAGTCGCTGCCACGGCAATCTATCTTCTTTGAGCAGCCGTCGTCGTGGCTACCTGAGCCGACGCCCACTTGTACTACTCCTCCTCTGTTGTTTCCGCCGCCTGCCTCCCCTACTCCCTCTCGTGTTACTCGGGAGCCTAATGTCCTGCCGTTACCTCCCCCGTCTTCTCTTCCTGCTGTTCCTGACCCTGTGTCTGACCTTGCTCGTGCTGCTCGTCCGACTATCCTTTGTTGTCTAGCCGCGCTTGTGACTGCACCTGCTTCTTCGCCTGCTGTTGCTTCTGCGTTAGTAGCTGAGCTCGCAGGCTTTGCCGCTACTTGCCGCCGTGCCTACCTTGCTGGTCTCGTGTCCTCCGTCCGTCGGGGGTGAGCTTGCCCTTTGCTGTGACGTCCTTGAGGACAGCCAGTTCGAGCTGGAGTACCTGCCGTACCCTCTCAGCATACGGACTCGCTACGTTGCGCCCAGGAGATACCACCCTGCGCATTGGCGGGCTGCTATGAGGGTGCTGCGCTACCTGGTCAGACTAGCGAGCAGAACATAGCGCTTTGCACTTCGTTCCTTTGCCGTGCGAGTATTGCAGTAGCGTTCTCAGCTTCGCCTTAGTCCGTGGCCACACGGACCAACACTGCTTGTCTCTTGATCTTGTCTTGTACTTAGATATATAAACCTGCTTGTTTACTCTTGCTAGGTTGTGATCAGTGTACTGCCTTGCTATTATAAATCTGCATGTGAACTGGCCTTGTGGCCGCCTGCTTGTGCTCAGATTGTGTGGTGTCCCTGAGATCCACCCTTGGCTTTGCCTTGCTTGTTCTCTTGCTTGACTGGTCTTGTGACCACTGTTAGGTTTGACTATCCCCTACTTCACCTATGGGGGTGTGTCAAAACATATTGTTCTGTTCATCTTACTCTAGGTTCTGTAGGGGTCACACCTTAGAGGGTACAACCCAACTCTCTCGACATCCTTGTACCCCCTCCCTCTTACCTAATTCATCATTCCTTCCTACCTAATCTCGACATTTGGGCCTTGAGCTTTAAAGCCAGGGTCTCACGTACTGCAAGTGTTTTGCAGTTGTCAGTGCAAGTTTGATTGTGATTGGTTGGCGAGTTGTGAAGTTTGAAGAGGAGTGAAGCGAGGAGTACGAAACGAATCCAAATCGCTAGGTGTAGCCGAACCTTCTAGGTTTGTAATTTTGGTTCAGATCCAAACCTAAAATGCCCCAGAATCGTCGAAAGTCTCACGTACTCAAAAGGTGTTGTGCAATTGCTTTTGAGGCACTGACGGGGGTAGGTTTCTAACCCAACCAAAGAGAAATTCGCCTGCACTAACTAGGTAACCTAGCTTCAACTGCTTTGCAGTTGATGGCTGCTTTGCTTACTTGAGACCCTGGCTTTAACAAGCCAACGTTCTAGGAGTTCAGATGTGCGGGGCCTGGTTCAATCATAAGCATTATTCGTGCTCAACAAATAAGTTTTTTGGTGAGCCCCGCATAGCTTGTGCTTGAACGATAAGCGTTCTGTTGTTGGAGGTTGTTGTTGCAGAATGCTTCTTCCGCCACCAATCAACCTTCAGACCAAGATAGGTGTACGATGCAGAAAGGTCCTCCCTCGAAATCACCACGATTCATTGGCCGAGAGCCTGAAGAAGCTGAAGTTGCCCCATTCTTAGACTGGCAATCCTTTTTTGCGTTGAATGAAACGGACGGTTGCTACCTCCAGAAACCACTCCTGTAACTGCTGCTGCGACAAGAATGATCCTGGTGGGTCCAAAGCTACCCTCAGCCCATGACCCTGTCCATGGAACATTGAGGCACTGCACGGGGGTGCAGGAGGCCGTTGATGCAGTGGAGTCTGGAGGGAAGCACACCACTGTGATTGCAGTCCAGCCAGGCACATACTTTGAGCAGGTGAGAGATAGGGACAGTTTTTGTATGCGCACTGCACAGATTGTAGTTTTCTTTTCCTCCTTTCATGGCCAACCAATGATTGAACCCACAACTAATCCGCTTGCCAGGTACGAGTCCCCTGCAACAAGACACACATTCTGCTGCGGGTGGCATCGGTCAAAGAAAGGGGCTCTGGTGGTGGGGAGGTCCGGATAGTCTTCAATGCGCATGCAGGCAAACGTAAGCACAGCAGCGGCGGCGGCAGCAGCAGTGGCAGTATCAAAAGGAAAGATGCCAGTGCTGCTGAGAGCTACACGACATATACTTATGCAACTTTTGCGGTGAGAAGAAAGCAAAGATTATCCATGCCCCGTACAACCCGCCTTTCTCATACCACCCTTTTTGTTACTCGCCTTCTACTACGCATGTATTTCTCCTCAGTACTGTCCGTCATTCTTGCTCTCCTACCCTTCTCCCCTGACAGGTGGAGGCGAGCTATTTCACAGCAGAGGGGATAGTGTTTGAGAACGCAGCAGGACCGCAGTGTGGGGGCGCATCAGGGCAGAACCAGGCGGTGGCGGTGCGGGTGACAGCGGAGCAAGCAGCGTTCCACCGGTACAGCTTCCTGGGGTGGCAAGACACACTCTACGTGCACCATGGCAGTGCGTGGTTCAGGGATTGCCGAGTGGAGGGATCTGTGGACTTCATCTATGGAGGACCCAAGGTGAGGAGAACTGGAGTGTCTGCTTTTCCCATGCCTGCTCTTGCCCACCAGTTTTCTTCCTGCTCTCAGTTTCCTTCCTGCTCTCAGTTTCCTTCCCATTTCCTGCTGATGCAGACTATAGACGCCTCTCAAGCCCATGCAGTCTGTGATTTTATTTCCTGTGATCCAGTGCTGTCGCTAACCCACAGTTTGTGTTTCTTTTTTCCTGCCCGCTGCTTGTGTGGTCAGGCACGAGGCTACTGGAAGGGGTGGGGCTGGGGGTGGATGACAGCTCACCGCAGGGATCTCACCCAGTGGCCTGACGACACCAATGGTGCATTCGTTTTCGATGCATGCTCCATTCAAGGTACTCAATGCCTCCTCCAATTCCTCCTCCAAGGGTTTATGGCTCTCAACCCATCGCCTGGAACGAGTGTGCTCTTCACATTACCAAGCCCTTTGGACCACCGATACCCATTATTTTTGCTATCTTGCCTTCCTGTTTCCCCCTTGCAATTTTTCCAGCGGCAGATGCTTCAGTGCCTGACAGCTGTGCGCTGCTGGGACGGCCATGGGGTCCAGATGCGCGTGTGCTGCTGCATGGGTGCAACATAGGAGCCGTGGTGAAGGCAGAGGGGTGGAGCACATGGAACTCTGCGACTGATGTTTCTCGCCCTCGGTTCCTCGAGTGGGAGTGCACCGGACCCCGTGCTTCATTGGCTCGTGTACGACAACAGTCTATGCTTAAATCTTGCTATTACAGCCCACACGCAGTTCAACCGTCTGGCACTTACAACATGTACTTCTTCTCATGTCCACCCTCTTAGCATCTCCAACCTTCATTCTCATTCACATTTATTGCATGTCCTACCACCTGTGTTGCCAGAGAATCATAGGGTGGCAGGCAACACAAGAGGAGGTGGACCAGCTGGTGCCTGAGAGTGTTTTACTCCAAGACTTTCCAGGTTTCCCTGCTTCCACACCATTGCCTTGATTCTCATTACTGTGTTCTACTCTATAGTTGCACAAGATTGAATTATGTGGTAGTCGTTCATGTATGGTTCATGTGAACCTTTTCCTCTCCTGTTCATGACACCATACCATACCATGCATTGCATGTAGTAAAAAATGGACCAACCCGACAAGCACAGTATGCAATACCAGTAATAGCTAGTGAAAACTTATATACAGCCAGCAGTGCCTAAATCGTGCAATACCCAAGCCAAGTTACTACCCGTGCCTTCAGACAAATCACCAAATCAACTCCACAAATTAAGCACATCCTTGAAGGATCTTCCCGCAAAACTGCGTGCACCTTTTTGTCAAGATGGTACTAGGCTTAGTAGCCTAGGTTAGAACGAGATTAACGAGAGAAGAGGGACTTCACTATGAAGAGGGTCACAACATATAGGGTAGGAAAGAGGGTACACCACCAAGCAGGAAATCAGGATAACCACACTAACGCTAGAACTACATGCAGTTATAACAACATAATTCGGACATCCCCCCTTAACTGCATGCAGGAATAGCAAAGTGCAAAACACAACCTGCAGGGGTACACAAAGCAGAACAAAGCAGTAGCACGCAAAAGCAGTAGCAACCTGGTGCAACAGTGGTAGATACAGCTGCAGAAATCCCTTAGCCAAGACGAAAGACGAAAGACGAAAGGGGGGAGCATGCATGCGGTGCAGGTAGCCTGGAGAGCGGCGTGCGGCGGCACAGCAGGCTCAACGGCAGCACCTGCGCCAACAGCAGCAGAAGAAAGACGAAAGACGAAAGGTGGCGACAGGGGCTGCAGCTATAGGTGCCACGTTAGTAGTGGGCGGCAGCTGCAGATGCGTGGCTGCTGTTTCCACCACTCTCTCTTACCCTCCCCCCCTGCTCAGCAGCGAGAGAGAGAGGAGGAGGGGCGGTTGCTGGCTCGGCAGAGTCTCTCCCGCCACCCCTTCATTGCATGTCCCCCCTTCACTCGCCACACACTCATCTCCCCCCTTCCCCCACGGCAGATGGCGCTGGAGCGCGGGGCTGGCGCTGGCGCTGGCGCTCGCGACCAGCGGCGAGGCAAAGGGGCAGCGCACGGGACGGGGGGACGAAACAGCGTTGGGTGACGGGGGGGGGGGGGCGTGGGGCGACGAAACCGCGCGAGGCGACTGGGGGGGGCGTGGGGCGACGAAACCGCGCGAGGCGACGGGCAGGGCGCAGCGGGGGCGCTACGGACGGGCAGGGCGCACGGGTCGCGTGCGACGGGCAGCGCGACGGTCAGGGGACGGGACAGGCAGCGCGACGCGCAGGGGACGCGACGCGACGGGCAGGGGACGGGACGGTCGTAGTGCGCCATAGGGACGGGTGGGCCCATTGATCTTAAAAAAAAAGTGAAGGTTCTAGGAAAGAACCAGCTCTGAAACCATGTCAAGATGGTACTAGGCTTAGTAGCCTAGGGTAGAACGAGATTAACGAGAGAAGAGGGACTTCACTATGAAGAGGGTCACAACATATAGGGTAGGAAAGAGGGTACACCACCAAGCAGGAAATCAGGATAACTACACTAACGCAAGAACTACATGCAGTTATAACAACATAATTCGGACACTTTTGTTCCCCAGCCCAGGGTCACCCATGGTACAACCCTCTCACTCTGTCCCGAATTGTCCTCCTCTCCTCCTGAGACACATCGGAGAAGGCATGCGATGGCAGGTGCTCCAGGGGTGGGCGGCAGTGCTGCGGCCGGCTGTCTGCCAGGTCGTATGTGGCGCCGCGTATGGCCTCCCAGCGCGGGCCGCATGGCCGCTTCGTGGTGACCATCTCATATGCCGTCCGCAGCTGTAGGGAAGCAGGCAGAGGAGAGTGTGGGGTAAAAAGGTCAGGGTTTGGAGGACGAGGAGGGGTGGACGGGGATCAAGCCTCCGACCTTGAGCTGTGGCAGGAAGGGTGATCTGAAGAGTGTACAAAAGAAAGTGAAGCAGTGTAGGGCAGTCGCAGAGTGAGTCAGTACAGCAGCAGAGCGACTCACGTCCATGTCACGGAACCAGAAGAGGAAGGCAATGGCAGCAGCAGGCGCGCGGCCGAGGCCGGCAGTGCAGTGCACGAGCACAGTGCGTCCCCCTGACACGTGACGCTCTATCACCGCCACCATTCCTGGCAGCTGGTGCCTCAGTGAGTGAGGGTCGAAGTCCACCGCCTGGTGGGGACATTGATGCACACAGGGCCAGGTGGGCACAGAGGGCGAGGGGAGGTAAGGGGAAGGAGAACAGAGGAAGAGTCAATGAATATTAATGGCACACGCTAGCAAGGAGAATGGGGGGATGTATGCGAGTTGAAGACCTCATGGGGGAAAGCCGCATGAGATAATAATTCCCGAAAAATCACGCAACTGGTCGGGAAGGAATGAGCATGGGAAACGTACGGGTCGGCGGTAGTGCCTGAGCCCCAGCTGGCGGCAGTGGTGTGTGATGCGGTGGATGTCGACGCCCCAGTAGGCGATGTCGTGGTCCTGCTGCAGGTTCAGCACCACCGCCACCTCCTCCTCGCGCTGCAGCCGCTCTATGTCGTCCGGGCTCTGTGGCTGAGAGCCCACCAGTAGATGCTGCGCGATTCGCGTGTAGTACATGCCTGCACGGGACGGGCATTTGTGTGGTTGTGAGTGTGGTTTAGCGTGCTGGGATGTACTTTGAACATAGGAAGTTAGGGTACGCGCGTTCTGTGGGTGTGCTGCTGGGATTGTCGATCAAGGGGATCAGGGACAGCAATAATTCAGGTGAAATTATAGGTTATTCAGACAGTCATACTAAACAAGCGCGAGCTTACCAAGGTGATGGTGATACTCGTAAGGGTTAGCCATGGCTCGTTTCATCTGCATGTTGTATTCGGACGACGAGATTACGATCCCTGTACTGTCCGAGTCTGACGTGTCACCACCACCATTCAGCATCCCAGTAGCGGTGTCTCCGAGGCTCAGACGGCTTTCAAAGCACGGGCTCTGTAGGCTTAAGCTTCCTTCTAGAGTCGCAACAGTGGAGCTCTCCGCAACAAGTCCGGGTGCAGAAGGAGCAGCAGATGCTGAGATTTGCGGGCCATGGGGCCTGGCAGTACGGTGGATTGAGGTGTTGGAAGGTGCAGTAGACAGGGCTGCTAGATTCGCGCCGAACAATGAGGTGGTGCTGCTTAGCGCAATACACGGAGACGGGAACATGCCGGAAATCAGGACGGTGACGGGAAGAATTATTTTGTCGAGACTGCCTAGCGGTGCTTATTTCAAATGTAGGACTGATATGACTGGCTGGGGAATCTCGTTGAGCTAGCCTCGTCGTTATATGATGACCATGAAAACGAGACGAAGATTCCAGAGTCAAGTATGCCAGCACGTCGGTCGCGGCTGATCAACAGCAGTTTCCGCGGTGATTCTTAGTGCAACAATGTAGCCACTCACCCTCCCTCCACTACACACAAGGTGCCAGTCCCTTGCCTACTGCACCCTCCTGGAAGTAGAGGAAGCAGAAGCAAGGTAATGCGAGAGTGGAGACACAATCCGCCGCAAACTGTGCAATCTCCGACGTGCTAGGCTGGCGTGTGTGGAAGTGGCTGCTTGTTTTTATAAGGCGAGGCTGCTGTGTTGGGCCGGAATGCGCTGTGCTGTGCTGGTTCTCATATTCATTGCTAGCCAGGGAAGAGAAGAGACTGAAAGTCAACGGCAGCCACATATGGTGGGCGACGATGACGTGCTGCGAAGCGGTACGATAGACGGCTTGGAGTTCACGAAGGGAGTAGCGAAAGGCGACCGACGCAGTGCTGGCATATTCGCCCTCTGCGGCCCCTATGAGCCACCGCCACAACGGTTCCAATGAGTCACTTCCACGCGTGACTCACGCCGCACCAGCGATAGATCGAACCGTGCCACCTCAAAATAACACAGTGCTTGCGTCATCGTATTGATTCCTCCAAGGTCCACTTGCGAGTCCACATTTACAATCACTAAATATGTCGGTTAGCATGCATATTATAGTAAATTTTACGATATCAGACTTTGTTTGTTGTGCATTCGTGTATTCCAAGAGGTACGGATACCTCAAACTGTTGTAACGAGCCTGCTCCAAGAGGGCAGTCTACCTAGGCATTTCTTATCAAGAATGTCCCTAGCGGTTACCTTGCTCCCATCCCCGCAGCATCCCCATGATCGCCGCGATCTGCGGGCAATCATGAAGGCCAACGGTCCAAACGATCTGCACGCCACTTCAGCTCGTCACCATGGTCTATGGCGTCCCTCTCGCTACCAGTCTAAGCCTATCGGGGTCGCGAATCCTGCCTCGCATTCGCATCAGAGACTTCGACTGACGTCCGTACGGCAGGACATTCTCGGCGCTCCGGCATGGAATCCATGGCGGCGATCGCCGTGCGTGGGTCGCGCGAGAGGCATCCTGCTTGCTGCCACAGCTTTAGCTGCACTGTTCGTGCTGTGGCATTCGCACGTGGTGCCACTGTTATTCAGCCAAAAGGTAACTTACCCTCTCAGCAACATATTCAGTGAGACGTGCTCTATACTGCATCATTTCCGTCCTAATAATTGTCGTTACCGTCACAATCTGTCCGCATCTGCCCTAAAATTCCGCCGTTTACATCACATTTCCCTATGCACGTTATGTTCTCCGTGTGTCCAGGCGTCCCATTTCCGGAGAGCCTCAACCACTCCGCCATCCGCGTCCAGCCTGCCTCTAAACCCTCCACCAATTGACAGCGCGAACATCAAACCACCTTCCAATCCAACTCCAAGCACACCCCCTCACTCCTCCAAATTCTCCTCGTCCACCAATTCTTCCTCCTCTACTTCACTCATCCCTCCTTCTCAAACCCCTTCCTCCGAAACCACACCCACTCTCCCACCATCCCCTCGCTCACCCCTCCAACCCCCTCACCTCGCACCAACCTCGGGCTGCAGCTGCTACCGAGTGCGCAACGTGTACTGCTGCAAGCAGGCCCTCTGCGTCTGCCACTCCCTCTGCTTCAACGGCTCCGCACTCCTCTCTGCCCCCTCCCCTCAGGCAACCTCAGGCAGAAACAGACAGAATGTCCAAACTCTTTCACCCGCCTGCCTTCCGCCTGAGTACACCCTGAACCAGATACAGCCTTCCCCAGACAGTGCGAGCAGCAGCAGCAGCGGGATTACAGACGTGCTGTCTCCCATTCCCTGCAGTCGCAAGGCAGAGTTTGCTGCCTATCTCAATATGGCGCTTACAGAAGCCCCCATCAGGGGAGGCCTGCATGCTGCTAGTGAGGACACGTGGCACAAGTGGGTTGGTCCGGGGGGAGAGAATGGGGGCAAGGGAGGGACGGCAGAGTGGCGGGATGGCAGCACGTTGCTGATACCTCTGGACGACCCCACCACCAACGTGGCTCACTTCATTGGTGCGTGCTCCATGCCACACCGTCCCTCCCTCGCTTCATCAAATTTTCAGTGATGCTCACTTCCTTGGCAGGTTCTTGGGGTGGATTGGGTTCTATGCCCGCAGCAACTCGTTCTTTTTATTTTCTTCTCGTGTTTCTTCTTTTTTGCAGACCACATAATTATGTAGGTTCTGCTGTTATTCGTTGCTGGGCTCGTTCTGCTGCTCCCATATAAGCCTGTGCTTGGCAGTGGTTTTTCCACCTCAATATTGCTCCCTCCTTGCATATGTATGTGTGTGCATGCATGTGTGGGTAACGGGTGTGTTTGTGTGTGTATGTGCGCGCGTGAGGGAGGGGGGGAATGCCGGGAGGATGGATGGGGGGAGGGTCAGGGGTGTGTGAATGATGTGAGTGACAGGGAAAACGGCTCAGATACTTCTAGTCAACAATGCATCAACGCCCACAGCGCTTCCTCTCATCACACGATTCCTGCTGCCACGCACTCCTGCTGCTGCCTCCAGGTGCCTGCCTGCCTGTCTGCTGTGCATCCGCACGTCGTGGGTTCCCTTATCTGCTTGACTATGTGTTCTACATCTGCACTTCGGGGACTGTAGAATCACCAAAAGTGCAGATGTGGGAGTGCATGATGTGCACATGGAACTGCCATTTTTGGTGATTCTACAGTTCCATGTGCACATCATGCACCACAACCACACCATTCTTGTTGCGATGCAGTTTTCTGGCCGATATCAGTCTAGGTGATCATTCTCATTCATGCAACACCCTGCTCTCAAGTGGCATTCTTTGCCTCCATCTGCTCCACCTGTCCATATTCCCCACATGGTTATCCTTGCGTCACAACCAGGATGAGGCAGCACGGCCAGCAGGGGTGGATCCCCTCCGTGCTGCACATGCTGCTGCGCATCGCCCTCGAGCCCCTCCTCAACCACACCGCCCTCTCCCACCACATCCCCTTGCTCCCACTAAGCCTTCAGTCTCTGGCCGCTGCAATCTCGCCTGAAGCCTTAGTTGGTGCTTCCACCAGTGCAGCAGCAAGCACTGGTGTGAGCGCTAGTGGCAGTGCTGGTGGTAGCAGTGGTGGTGTGGAGGTGCTGGCAGGGGCGGTGGAGTTTGAGTCTGCATTCAGCAGGGCATCTGATGCACATCCCATGTGCTTCCAACGCCTTGTGCTACCCGGCTACCTCAAGGTGCCACTGCCTGTTCTCTCTCTTCTCTCCTCTCTCTTCTCACTTCTCTCATCTCTCTCTCCTCTCTCCTCTCCCCTCACTCCTGTTTCTTCTCTCCTCTGTACCCAAACTGCCAGCACCCACAATATGTTAGTTGACTCTGATGTCATGCAACCTATGAGTGTAATATGCCGTGTTTAACTGCATTGCACGGGCTGCGCTCAGCACAATGGTGAAACACAATCCACCTCTACATTCGCTTGGCTCTACTTGAACCCCTCTGCAGGCCATCACCTTCCCAGGGGGCATGGAGCAGGCGGACATGTTCAAGCACCGCCTCAAGGAGGCCTTCCCCCACCCCGACCCCGACCCCTTCCGCGCTCTGGCGTTTCCAGACAATGCATCTGTGGGAGATGCGTCTGCTGGAAGCAGCTCAGCTGATGGGAGCAGTTCAGCTGATAGCACCACTGTTCGCCTGCTGTACATCACTCGCAATGCATCGCTCACACGCGGTCGCCGCGTAATGACTGCGCAAAGCTCCAGCGCTCTGCTTAAGCTATTCCACCAATTGAACTTCCAGGTGCGTGCCCTCTTCAACCATGATGTGACTCTGCCCGTTCTCTGGCCGTCCTGCTGCCTTAGTGCCCAGTAGTAATGTTGTGCCCTTCCCCTTCACTTTCAACTTACTCCCCCATACCGGCTTGCACTCATGCTGTCTTTCAATTCCTCCCATCCCTCATCTTGCCATTCCCCGTTCTCTAATCAACCCCAACACATCGGTCTTCCCCATATCTCGATCCTCCCATTACCCCGTCCCACAACCCTCCCTTCCTGCAACCCTGTGTGCCGGTCCACCAGGTAGCCCAAGTGGAGTTCACACCCCTCACCTTTTCCCACCAGCTGGCCCTGGTGCAGGCAGCAGACATCATCGTCTCACTGCACGGCGCAGGCCTCACCAACCCCGCCTCCTTTGCTCGCTCCGACTCTGTTCTCCTGGAGATCTCCCCCTACGGAGTCTTCTACAATCTGTACTATTTCATGGCGGTGAATGCCGGGGTGACCTACATGCTGCACCAGTGCACAGCCGGGCCTGCCCCCATGCCAGCTAAAGATGCGGAATTTCAAGGCGTTGGTCCGTTTGCGTGTGATCATGACCCGGCATGCAAGCAGTACCGGACTCATGACCGCCCGGTGAATCTTGGGAAGAAAGATACTGAAGAATTGGGGAACCTGCTTTCAGTGGCTCGGAGACTGGTTCTGGATGTGAGGAAAAAGGGGAGTCACGAAGGAGGAAGGAGGCTGCGGAGGACATATGGGAAGCTGTGTGTATCAAGGAAGAGGAATAAGGAGTGCAGGATGAACTTGCTAAGGTCTCCGATTGTAGATCCAACGTATGAATGTGTTGTTTCGATGGAATGTCCTTATGTGTCAAATGTTATCATAGGTTCTTAGGCTACAGTGAGTAGCACTATAGGGAGTACAACACTTTTAGGGTTGCTATTTGTATCCCTTGTTTCCCTAGTTCACACATTCCGTTGTTCGCTAACTTTGAGATGGTATCATGAGTAGGTGTCGATCCTCTCGCCTAGCCTAGCCTAGCTCGCGCCCTAGCGCCCTCCGCACCCTTGCGCCCTCCGCGCCCTCCGCGCCCTCCGCGCCCTCCGCGCCCTCCGCGCCCTCCGCGCCTTAGCCTCCGCGCCCTCCGCGCCCTCCGCGCCATCTCCGCGCCTTAGCGCCCTCCTCCTCCGCGCGTTAGAGCCCTCAGCGCCCCTAGCCTGCGCCCCTAGCCCGTCGCCCAGGCGCCCGCCCTAGCCCGACGCCCAGGCGCCCGCCCTAGCCCGACGCCCAGGCGCCCGCCCTAGCCCGTCGCCCAGGCGCCCGCCCTAGCCCGTCGCCTAGGCGCCCGCCCTAGCCCGTCGCCCAGGCGCCCGCCCTAACCCGTCGCCCAGGCGCCCGCACCAGCCCGTCGCCCAGGCGCCCGCCCCAGCCCGTCGCCCAGGCGCCCGCCTTAGCCCGTCGCCCCAGCCCGCGCCCTGGCCCGTCGCCCCAGCCCCGCAGGCAGCGCGCCGCGCGGGTAGCGCGCCCCGTAGGCGGCGCGCCCCGCGGGTAGCGCGCCCCGCAGGCAGCACACCCTGCAGGCAGCGCGCCCCGGAGCGCTTTAGCGCCAGAAAATAAATAAATAAATTAAACCCTTAAAAAAAAAAAAAAAAAAAAAAAAAAAAAAAGAAGGGGTTTCGGGTGGGGGCCTGCAACTGTCGCCCGCGTTCCTGCTTGCCGGACGACCTGCACAGTTGCCTGCATCCCGCAGCCGTCAGTACTGCAGCCCCTACTGTCGCACATACGTTCCACTGCCAGTGGCTCTACTAGCGGCAGCCGACAGCCGCACCTACGGTCTCTAGCTCCGGCCGTTCCTACCTCCAGCCAGTCCTAGCTCGCCGTTTCTAGCTCCAGCCAGTTGTGCTCCAGCCGTTCTCGCTCCAGCCGTTCTCGCTCCTCGCTCGTAGCTCAGTTTGCTCCGTGCTCCAGCCGTTCCTCGCCTAGTTTCACCTGTCGCTCCTAGCCTGCCGCTCCTGCACCCCGCTAGCTTTTATCATGGAGTCCACTAGGGTTCTCCAGCAGCAGGGACAGCAGCAGCGGCCGTTTCAGCAGTGGCTTCCGCAGCAGCAGGGGCGCCCTCAGCAGCTGTGGCGCCCTCAGCAGCCGTGGGGGCCTGGTGGTTCAGGTCGCGTTGGCTGCAGCAGCGGCCCAGCCAGCTGGGGGGCTCGTCGCGGTGGCCGCGACGTCGGCCCCTGCCAGTACCGGATCCTGACCGGCCCTGGTGCTGGCACTACCTGCTGGCGTCCTGACCACTCTGCACAGCGCTGCTACAGCCGCCTCGACGACCTTTACCGTGAGCGTTTTGGGCCTGAGTCGGCTCCCCCGATCTGTTTCGTAGTGGTTACCCTGTGTTTGATATGTCTATGGATGCTGTTTATTCTGTCACGTACGGATCTCTTGGCTTCCGTGTACCTAGCTTAGGACCTTTGCATGTTGCTAGTGTCGGTACTTGTGCTTTTAGTGTAGGTGCTTGTGTAGTCACTAGCCCGGCCGTGACGACTGCTGTTGCGTCGCTCTCCTTCACGCTGGACTCCGGCGCGTCTCAGTGCTTCTTCCGCGACCACACCTCTGTCACACCTCTTTCGGCTCCAGTCCCAGTTGCCCTGGCTGATCCTACTTCAGGACCAGCAGTTGCTCGCAGCTCGACCACCCTCCCGTGCCCAGCTGTCCCCTCTGGTTTCCTCACTGGTCTCTACATCCCCTCGTTCTCTCGGAACTTGGTGGCTGTTGGATACCTTCAGGACCGGGGGATCACAGTCACTTTTCCTGCGCACGGGAGGACTGCGATCTGTACGGACTCTTCCACCGGGGCAGTTCTTGCCACGTTCACCAGAGAGCCCCACTCAGGTCTCTTCGTCCTGCACACTCCGCCCCCGCAGGTAGCTGCGTCTGGTCAGGTTGCTTCGTCCCCCCCGGTAGCAGAGTTCGGTCAGGTTACTGCGTCCCCACCAGTTGCTGTGTCCGGTCAGGTTGCTGTGTCTGGTCAGGTTGCTGTGTCCGGTCTAGTTGCTGCGTCTTGCTCGTGTCGGTCTTTCACCCACCGGACCGTCTTGTGGCACCACCGTCTTGGCCACGCGTCGATCCCCCGCCTCCGCACTATGGCTAGCCACCGTCTTGTCTCAGTTCTCCCTCGCGTCTTCCCGTCGCTCCCTCCCTCGCCTGCGCCGCCGTGCACTCCTTGCGTCGCCGGCCGTCTTCGTGCCACTCCGCACTCCTCCCTTCGTCCGGCCACTGCTCCCTTCCAGACACTCCACTTGGATGTCTGGGGCCCTGCACCTACGCAGGGACCTGAGAGGGAGCGCTACTTTTTGGTGGTTGTCGATGACTTCTCCAGGTACACCACGGTGTTTCCTCTCACGAAGAAGTCCGAGGTGACTTCTACGCTGATCCGGTGGCTTCTAGCCACTGAGGGCACTCGTGGCCGTCGTGTCTCCTGTCTCCACTCTGACCGTGGGGGTGAGTTTCGCTCAGGCATTCTTGCCGGATTCTGCAGCGAGCAGGGCATCGTACAGTCCTGGACGCTGCCGGAGTCCCCACAGCAGAATGGGGTTGCTGAGCGCCGCATTGGCTTGGTCATGGACATCGCCCGCACGTCCATGATTCATGCCCGTGCGCCCCATTTTCTGTGGCCCTACGCGGTTCGCTACGCCGCTCACCAGCTGAACCTCCAGCCGCGCGTCTCGCGGCCAGAGGCTTCACCGACCAGTCTTTGGACCGGGTCCCCTGGTGTTGGGTCAGCTTTTCGTGTCTGGGGCTGCCTTGCGCTTGTCCGCGACACCTCTGCGGACAAGCTCTCGGCTCGCGCCGTCCCCTGTGTCTTCCTTGGTTTCCCGGTAGCCTCGGCCGACTGGTCCTTTTACCACCCGCCCCTCCACCAGTTCCTAGACTCCCGTGACGTCCGGTTTGACGAGTCAGTGTCCTACTACACCCGGTACCCCTGTCGAGGTCTCCCGGTTCCCCTTCCCCCCCTTTTCCTCGCACCCTCTCTTCCTCCTGCTCCCGCTCCTCCGGTACCCCCACCCCCCCCTGGTCCTGCCCCGTCAGGTGTGTCTCACGCTACCCCTCTACCCTCGGTCGCGCGTCAGGTAGCGGCCCCCTCCCCGCAGTCCTCCTCACAGTCCCCTCAGCAGCCTTCGGTACTTCCGCGACAGGCTACTGTGGACTCGGTTGGTTTTGGAGCTGGAGGTGCAGCCACTGGCGGTACTCGGTCCGGGGGTGCTCGTTTGAGGGGTGCTGGAGTTGGAGGTGCTGGCGCAGGTGGCGCTAGCCCTGGGGGTGCTGGAGCTGGAGGTCCTGGCACTGGAGGTGCTAGTCCTGGGGGTGCTGGAGCTGGAGGTGCAGGCGCAGGTGGCGCTAGCTCTGGGGGTGCTGGAGCTGGAGGTGCTGGCACTGGAGGTGCTAATTCTGGGGGTGCTGGAGGTGGAGGTCCTGGCACTGGCGGTACTAAATCTGGGGGTGCTGGAGCTGGAGGTGCTGGCACAGGAGGTGCTGGTTCTGGGGGTGTTGGTCCTGGGGGTGCTGGTTCTGGGGGTGCTGGTGCTGGAGGCGCTGGCACTGGAGGTGCTGGTTCTGGGGGTGTTGGTCCTGGGGGTGCTGGTTCTGGGGGTGCTGGTGCTGGAGGCGCTGGCACTGGAGGTGCTGGTTCTGAGGAGACTGGAGCTGGAGACACTGGTTCTGCGGAGTCCACTCCGCCTCCCCACCGCCACGACACACGTCTCCAGGCGGCCCGTCGGCGTGAGCGTGAGGAGCAGGTGCTGTTGGAGAGGGAGCGGCAGGAGTTGCGGCAGTTGGACCTGCTGGAGCAGCAGCAGCAGCAGCAGCAGCAGCAGCAGCAGCAGCAGCAGCAGCAGCAGCAGCAGCAGCAGCAGCAGCAGCAGCAGCAGCAGCAGCAGCAGCAGCAGCAGCAGCAGCAGCAGCAGCCGCAGCAGCAGCAGACACCGCCGCCGCAGCTGCGACCACAGCAGCTCCCTCTGGAGCGGCAGTTGTTCCCACCCGTGAGTGGCCTTCGGGCCCTTGGTCTTCCCTCCTCTCCTCCTGTTCACACTCCGTCCCCTCCAGCGTTTGGTCCCACGTTTTCTCCTCCTGACGCCAGTCCGGCGGTCTGGTCTTCTCCTCCACCGCAGTCTCCTCCACCTGGTGTCCCGCACTCTCGTGTCCGTCCCTGTCCTCCGCGTGCTCGTCACTCGTCTCCCGTTACCGACCTCCGCACTGCCCTCCTTTGTTCGTCTCTTCGTCGTCCTCCTCCTAAGTCCGTTCTCCCGTCTCCGCCTCCGTCCTCTCTCCCTTTCCCCCCTACTCCTGTCACTGACTACTACCGCGCTGTTCGTCCTGTTGTCTCTCGCGTCCTCGCCACTCTTGTCACCGACTCTCGTTTCCCTCCGTCGTCTGTCTCGGCTCTCACTGCCGCTGTCGCTGAGTTTGCTGCCGCCAGTCTCCTTGACTACACCACCCGTGTGGTGCCAGCTCCTCCCTCCCGTCCTCTGTCCGTCGGGAGTGGGTTTGCCCTTGACTGTGACGTCCTAGAGGACAGAGAGTCTGAGCTGGAGTACTGGGCAGCCGCTTCTCCCTCTGTCTGTGCCATGCTGCTATCCCCTGAGGGAGACCCCGACGCCCTTGACATACTGACTCCTCGCACTTACCGCGAGGCAGTGTCAGGGGCGTGGGCCTCACAGTGGAAAGCGGCCATGGCCTCGGAGTTAGCGTCTTGGAGATCCACAGGCACCTACGTCGACGCAGTTCCCCCTCCCAGGGCGAACGTAGTCGATGGCATGTGGCTCTTCAAGGTAAAGCGGCCGCCTGGTTCACCGCCTGTGTTCAAGGCGCGCTACGTGGCTAGGGGTTTCAGTCAGCGTGAGGGAGTTGACTTCTTCCAGACCTTCGCCCCGACCCCGAAGATGACTACTCTTCGGGTGTTACTGCACGTAGCAGCACAGCGAGACTACGAGCTGCACTCCCTTGACTTCTCTACTGCGTTTCTCCAGGGCCGACTACACGAGGAGATCTGGCTGCGCCGCCCTCCTGGCTTCACTGACACCTTCCCACCTGGGACCCAGTGGAGCCTGAGACGGCCAGTCTACGGTCTCCGCCAGTCGCCCCGTGAGTGGCACGACACTCTTCGCTCCACGCTTCGTGACCTTGGGTTTTGTCCTTCCTCTGCCGACCCGTCGCTGTTTGTTCGCACTGGTTCCACTCCTTTCTTTATACTAGTGTACGTCGACGACTTGGTCTTTGCCACAGCAGACAGGGCAGCTCTGGCTCAGGTGAAGTCCGAACTGCAGAAGAGACACACGTGCACTGACCTAGGTGAACTGCAACACTACCTTGGCCTGCAGATCACCAGGGACAGAGCCGCTCGCACCATCACACTGACTCAGTCATACATGGTGCAGCAGGTCCTTCGGCGGTTCGACTTCCAGTTCTCCACCACACAGCCCACACCTCTTGCTGTTGACCACAGACTCACTGGCCCCTTTCCCGACGAGCCTTTTGAGTCCAGTGGTCCATACGCAGAGCTGGTGGGCTGCCTCATGTACCTGATGACTTGTACTCGGCCGGACCTCGCCTTTCCCCTCAGCGTCCTCTCTCGCTTTGTTGCGACTGGGAGACACCGTCCTGTCCACTGGACAGCTGCTGTGAGGGTGGCGAAGTACCTGGCGACTACATCAGGCATGGGGCTTGTGCTTGGAGGGACTCAGCCAGTGGCGTTGTCTGGTCACTGCGACTCTTCCTACGCTGACGACGTGGAGACTCAGCGCTCGACTCAGGGTTACTGCTTCAGTCTGGGTGCTGGTGCTGTGTCGTGGAGGTCTACACGGTCGTTGTCTGTGGCTACTTCCAGTGCAGAGGCAGAGATCTACGCTGGTGCCATGGCGGCACAGGAGCTTCGCTGGTTGACCTTCTTGCTCGCCGACCTTGGTGAGCGGCCTCGCTCTGCACCGACCTTGTACGCTGACAACAAGGCCATGATCCTCCTGTGTCGAGAGCCTCGACTGGAGAGCAGAGTGAAGCATATTGACGTGAGGTACTTCCTTCTGCGAGAGTTGCAGCGACGCGGCCAGGCACGCCTGGACTTTGTGGCCTCAGAGGCCAACACTGCAGACGTCTTCACCAAGGCCCTGGCGCTTGGTGACCACCAGAGGTTCTGTGTGCAGTTGGGGCTTGTTGAGGTAGGCCCTCGGTTGCTGTAGACTTGCTGTTTGCTCTGCTTGTTGTGCTTTGCTATATATATCCTAGTGAACTCTTGAACTGGCCTTGTGGCCGCTTGCTTGTGCTCGGAATTTGTGTGGTGTCCTTGAGATCCACTCTGAGATTGCTTTGCTTCCTGCAGTGACTGGTCTTGTGACCGTTTGTTCACCCTGCTTGCTTTGATGCCCCTCACTTAGCCTATGGGGGTGTGTCAAATGTTATTATAGGTTCTTAGGCTACAGTGAGTAGCACTATAGGGAGTACAACACTTTTAGGGTTGCTATTTGTATCCCTTGTTTCCCTAGTTCACACATTCCGTTGTTCGCTAACTTTGAGATTATGTTTCCAAATGACATGTACTAAAACGTGAGGCCTAACTGAATTCAGGTAGTGACATTGCAAGAAAAGGTTCATTTTAGTGACGGGTAAGAGCATATTCCTACACCTCGTATCAAGCTAACCTCGTATCAAGCGAACCCTAAACGCCTGGTAAAACTAGCGGGAGGTTTTGGGTTTAGGGAAATTTTCAGTGGGAGACTGATACGAGGTTGCTTGATAAGAGGCGTAGGAATATGTTCTATTCGTAAAACTGGCTGGAAACATTATGGCAAAAGGCAATACTTAGGGTGAAAACATGGAGATACAAACAAATGAATACAGACGCAAATTGCAGTACCTCAGAACTGTCTTGAAAGAAACCTGCAACCTGCACCCACATAAACAAGACACAGGATTTAGAGACTGTTCGCACGTTCGCATTTAACAAGTAGGTGAGCAACATCGAGCATCGCTGGGGAGGGATCAGTTACTGGCTTGGTGGCTCGTAAGAGCCGAGTAAGCGTAGTGGAATCAGCTTCGATCATAGGGGAAAATGTCCTCATTTCCCTACGCCAACATGCTCGTCAGACGAATGACATTATCAAACAAAGAGGGCCAGAAAGACGAGGACGCGGAGGGTAAGGAAAAAGAGTTTAAGAGGCGGACAAGTCTCATCGGATAAATCCCTTGATGGTCCACATACGCAGGCTGTAAGCCTAGCATTCGGACTCTTCCTATCATACAAGAATTTCGTCATCTGAGGCACTAATCCGACTCGGTAAAACGTGAACAGAAGCATAATCGCTGCATCAGGGCTAAAAAGCTCTGTGAGTCAACAGTATATTTCTGCGTTGGATGCATTCTGATGCATCATGTGCAGGAACGAAAATGCAGGAGAATCACCTCTATCAGAATGTACTGTCGGTGCAAATTTTAGGAAAGAGCAAGTGAAGGAACGGGATCAGGATTAAAGTCTGGCATACTGGCTCTACCTGTCTTAGGCACTAATCGGACTCAAGAAGGTAGAACGTTAACAGAAGCAGTGTCGCTGCATCAGGGTTAAAAAGCTCTTGAGTTATATCAACAGTATATTTCTGCGTTGGATTTTACTTTCATCATGTGCAGCAACGAAAATGAAATAAAATCACCTCAGTCAGAATGAAAGGTCAGTGAGACGTCGAGAAAAGGGCGGGGAAGGAACGGGATCAGGTACTGGCTTGGTGGCCCATTAATGGACCAAAGTAGCACAGTTGAATCAGCTTCGATCATGGGGGAAAATGTCATCAATTCCCGTTCCCAACAATCACCTCAAATCCTACTCACGAAAAAACAGACGCATTTGTCAGGCATGCATTAGGTCATTGATGACTTCCATTCGGAACCGAAGAGGCTCACTCCACTCCACGCGCTACGCGAAGTGCGTCACATAGCTGCCGATGACAGTCAAGTTCGGAAGCCCCATCACAATGCGCCTAGACTACACACAACCCCATATGATAGAAACGTGGGATGCTGGAACGCAGTTATCTGTGACTCGCGTTGGCCTTTATACCTGGTTGGCGTGGTAGGAGATTGCCATTCTCCTAGCAAGTTAGGCTGAGCGAGAATTGGATTGCTTCTTGAGGCAGTTTTGGGCTTTGCAAGGAGCCCTACCAGTTCTGCAGCGACTCTTGATCCGCTGAAAAAAAAGATACTGAATACGTTGCGGGTTCTGTTTTGCAGAAAGTCTCCTTATGACGGGGATTGATCAGGGAGCTTCCAGAGAGGTTGAACTGACATAGCTACCAGCTGGTTACCCGACAAGCTACAAGCGAAGTCGTGTTCGCCAAAACAAAATGTTGTGAAATTCCATGCGAGTGTACAATACTCGTTTCCAGCCCATGGGAGTCTCAGTGCTTCGATATAAGTAGGAACGCCACTCACTAGTCCCCATTGTCTGCCGTTTACTCGTATGCACCAGCTTTTTTCCAAGCCTTTCGCCAGTCGATCAATCCATATGCAGTCCAAGGACGAACCGCCGCTGTCGGATCTCCTCCTCCCGTCGTCGCTACCGTTCAAGCGCGTGCAGCTGGAGGAGAAGTACCCGCGCGGCTCGCAGGTGCGCGGCGGGCGGCACTGGAAGCACCTGAAGCAGATCCTGCAGCCGCACAACCTGCACGACCTGCCGCCCGACGAAGCCAACTGTGAGCGGCTCTTCGCCTCTACCTTGGGATTGCCGCGCTTCTGCTAGTTGCTGCCCTAATCACCGCCGGCTTGGATTGTTCCCCATCTGAAATCTCCCATTCTCACGCCACCTCTCCGTCAGCCGTGGCCCCTCCGCGCCGGCTGATCCCCCGGTTACCTGGCCTCTCCCGCTTTGACCTAAGGCCTCTCCACCTTAGATAATCAGGTCTTACTATAAGATGATTCACCCCCTCATCCCCCCCTCCCCCCCACCCCCCCCCCCCCCTCCCCCCCACCTTTCGCTCAAACCTTCCCTGCTCTTCCCTCTTTCCCTTCCCCTCCCCACTCCCCGATCTCCTCCTCTCCCCGTTTCCCCCGTCCCTCCCGCGCACGCGCAGACGTGACGATAGAGGCGCCGCCGTCCATGTACCCCGCTAAGAAGTACTGCGATATAACGGGGCTCGAGGCGCCCTACACGGATCCGCACAGCAAGCTGCGCTACGCCAACCCCGCCGCTTTCGCCATTGCGCGCTCGCTCCCCCACCCACACGCGCAGGCCTTCCTCGCGCTCAGAGGCGCGCAGACCATCGTCAAGTGACTGTCGCGGACTCGTGTTAGCGTTTCCTCAGCCGGCCGTCAGCTTCTGCCGGTAGTTTGAGTCGCTCACAGTCGCTTACAGTCGCTCACTCTCGGTCCGCCGCTCAGTCGCTCTCAAACACTATCTGTCATTCAATCACTATCATTCTCAATCACTATCTGTCATTGAATCAGCTGGTAGCCACAGCCTCAACTTTGCCATGGCGCTGTCGTTGCAGCACCGCCCACTCTTGCCATCCCCAGCACTGTCGCCACTGGCAGTGACACCATCGCCGCCTCCAATATCCGCAGCGTGGCGGCCCACGTCAGCATTTCCGCCAGTCCGCGCAAGAAGGTCAAGAAGCGTGCTTAATCCGAGACAACATTTGCTGGTCCCTTACAGGCGCACTCAGCCACTCTCTGGGTCTCTTGGACCCTCTCCCTGCCACAGCCTCGCATTTCCCTGCTGCCGCTACACTGCTGCGCGCTGTGCCACTGCAAGGCGTGGCCTTGCTGCTCGGGCGGGTGGTGTTGCTACAGGCGGAAGAGGAGGCGGCGCAGGTGGTGTGACTCTAACGGATGTGACAGAGTCTGGCGTGGGGGTGATGGAGGGGGAAGGGAGGAGGGTGGGGATGGGGTCTGCTGAGAAGAGGGCTGGAAATGGAAGCGCAGTGGGTATGGCTTCTGACATTCCCAAGGTTGTGTGGGAGCTCGAGCAGGAGACAAAAGAGTTGCTGGAGTGGCCAATGGTGTGCCGCCAGGTGGCACGATTCGCTGACACAGTGATGGGGTACAGGGAGGCGGAGGAGGGGCGGTTGGCAGTGGGGCGCACGTGGGAGGAGAGTCAGGCGCTGCTGCTGCAGACGGAGGCAGCGCTGCTGCTGCCGCGGCGGCTGGATTTCAACGGTGCTGTGGACGTGGGTGGGTTGCTCTCTCGGCTCCACCGCAGTGCTGCTGCTGTCGCGGCTGATAATGCTGCTGCTGCTGCTGATGTAGGTGATGGTATCCCCGAGGCCGCTTCCTCTGGCAGTGATAGTGATGGTGATGGCAGTGACAGCGATGCCACTGCTGCTGCCACAGCTGCACCCGCCCCGCCCATGACCATAACCCCCTCGGAGCTCCTGTCAGTGGCATCTCTCCTGCAGTCAGGCATTGATCTAGGTGCATGCATCGGGTTGATCCCAGATGAAACTGGGATTTTGTGCCCCTCCTCTTCCTCTTCCTTCTCCTCCCCCACCCCCTCGCCTCTCGCTCCTCTCACGGCCCTCCTCTCCTCTGCTGCCACGTGTCCCCATCTCCTCCTCCGCATCCGCACCGCCATCAACCCGCGCCTCAAGTCCCTCGCTGACTCAGCAAGCACTGAGCTGGCAGCCATCCGCGCCGCCAGGCGGGACAACCGGCGCCAGCTGGACGAATCATTGCAGAGAGCAGCGCGACGTGTGGTGGAGGGAGGGGGAATGGATGAGGCACAGGTGAGTAGGAGGAGAGGGAGAGGGTGCGTGGCGGTGCGAGCAGGGAAAAAGAGTGCTGTTACACCCGGGGGTGTTACTTTAGATGTTAGTAACACCGGAGCTACACTCTTTGTGGAGCCTGTAGAGGCTATCGAGTTGAATAATAACGAAGCAGAGCTGAGTGGGCAGGAGGCGGAGGAAGAGAAGAGGGTGCTGAGGGAAATGGCCGAGCAGGTGGCGGATTGTGCGCCGTTGATTCGGGATCTAACGGACAGGATCGTTGCACTGGACCTGGCATGTGCCCGTGCAAGGCATGCCCTATGGATGGGTGCCTCTCGTCCTGTCCTCCTTCCACCCACACACCCTCTCTCCCATGGCCATGGGGATAACTTTTCAGGGGTAAATACGCCTGGGGACAGTGATACAGGGAGAAATACCCTTGCAGGGAGAGAATCCTACAAAATTGAATCTTACGTGGTTGAGATTCGGGGGATACAGCACCTGGTGCTGCTGGAGATGTATCTTGACGCCCTCAGTGCTGCTCAGAGCAGGACGGGTAAAAGCACAGGTGCAGCAGACACCAGTGCAGTAGCAGCAACAGGAGGAGGACGAGGAGGAGCAGAAGCAGCAGCAGCATCAGCATCACCGCTGCCGACTCCCCCAGTGCCCATAGACCTGCTGATGCCGGCCGGCGTGGCAGTGGTGGTCATCTCCGGCCCCAATGCGGGCGGCAAGACGGCCGCCCTCAAGACCCTCGGGATTGCCGCGCTCATGGCCAAGGCGGGGCTCTTCCTGCCCCTGGCGGGGGACGTCGGGGGACAGCGAGCAGGGGAAGACGAGGCAGGGGCGGAGAGTGGGGGCAAGAGTGGGGGCGGGAGTGGGGGCGGGAGTGGGGGAACGGGAGAAGCAAGTAGAGGGAAGGCGCAAGTGGCGGTGGTGCCGTGGTATGACTGGGTGGTGGCGGACATTGGAGACGAGCAGTCGTTGGAGCAGAGCCTCTCCACCTTCAGCGCCCACATGTGCCGCGTCTCCCGCATCCTCCTCGCCTCCTCTCCCTCCTCCTCTCCCTCCTCTCCCCCCTCGCCCTCCTCGCCCTCCTCGCTCTCCTCGCTCTCCTCGCCCTCCTCTCCCTCCTCTCCGTCTCCTGCTTCTTCCTCATCCTCCTCCCCTTTCTCCTCCTCAACTCTCGTGCTTCTCGACGAGGCGGGCAGTGGCACGGACCCGTCAGAGGGAGCAGCGCTCGCAGCGGCCATTCTGAAGCACCTGGCGGGGTGCAGTGGGCTCACTCTCGCCACCACTCACTACGCTGACCTCAAGAAACTCAAGGTGGGGAGGGAAGACAAGGTGCTTCTGTCAGGGTTTGAGACGTCTCAAAGTGTGAGACGTCTTGACATGGGCTGCAATGGGCCCACACTCTCCACAACTCTTTACGCTGACCACAAGAAGCTCAAGGTAGGGAGGGAGGGAGAGTGGGAGGAAGGGAGAGGGGGAGGGAAGGTGGGAGGAAGGGAGAGCTGTCACTACCGGCAGGGCGCAATGGGCTCGTTCGCCACCACTCACTACGCTGACCTCAAGAAACTCAGGTTACACAAGGGTCTCCCATGCTCTCTCCTCTGTCTGACCGGTCTTCTAACACCTGCCTCTTCCCTTCACCCTCCCCATCCTGTCCCTTCCTTCCGTCAGGCGGCTGATTCTCGGTTTGAGAACGCCATTGTGGCGTTCGACCCGGTCTCCCTGCGCCCCTCCTTCCACATCCTCTGGGTTCTCCCCGGCACCTCCCACGCCCTCTCCCTCGCTGCCTCCCGCGGCCTGCCCCCCTCCCTCGTCGCCAGAGCCGCCAGGCTTGCCCGTGCTGCTAGTCTAGAGGCAGGGGAGGATGAGGAGCGGGAGGAGCGGGATGAGGAGGAGAGGAGGGAGGGAGAGGAGGGGAGGGGATTAGGGGAGAGAAGGCAAGTGGGGAAGAGTGAGGCGGACGAGTATGCTACCCTGGGAGCAGGAAGGGGAGAGGGTGAGGGAGTGGGAATATTAGCATCTCTCAAGCAGCAGTGGCAGCGGAACGTGGAAGATGCAAGAGAGGCAGCAGAGGCAAGGCAACAAGCAGAGAGGCTCCTGAAAGACCTTCAGGCGCACTACACGAGCAGCAGCACCACACAGCAGGGCCAGCAGGAGCAGACTCTCCCTGTGAGGGAGGTGCTGTGGAAGAGAAGGTATCAGAGGGACGTTCAGGAGGAGGTTTTGGCAGCAAGGGAGGAGATTTCTCGTGTTGTTGCCGCTTTCCAGGAAACTTCCCTTGCTGGTGTGCCGGAGCGGGCGGCGACGGACCAGGCCTGTGCTGATGTGGCAGCCGTGGCGGCTTTGACGGGCCTCTCTCCCGAAGCTAACTCTGCTATAGGTTCGGATGCTTCGGTTGGTGGCTCGGCAGGAGACCCAGGAGGGGCGGACTGGGTTCCTGCTCTGGGAGAGCCTGTGTACGTGAGGAGGTTTGGCACCAATATGTGTGGTACGGTGGTGGCAGTGGGTGGTGGTTCTGGGGAAGGCTCGGCAGAAACAGCAGCTGCTCGGTCCGTGACGGTTCAACTGGGAAATCTACGATTGCAAGTGCAGAGAGCAGACCTCCTTCCCGCCACCGATGGCAGTGGTGATGGTAGGACTGATGGAGAGGCAGGAAGGAGGGGGCCCACAGGAGGGCTGTTTGGCAGCCAATGGGAGCAAGATGATGACAGTAACAATAGCAGCAGCACGAATAGTACCAGGGGATTGAAGCGTGGTGGTCAGTTCCCCTCTCCGTCCTCCTCCTCCTCCACTCCACTGCCAGCAGTGAGAGAGGCAGCAGTGCAGACAGCGCGCAACACAGTGGATGTGAGGGGGAGGAGTGCAGAGGATGCATTAGCAGCGGTGGACCTAGCAGTGCAGTCCAGCCCGCCTGGTGCTGTGCTGGTTTCGCGGCACGAGGCAGAGAGTAGGTTGAATATTGGGTGTACTATAGCATATATTGGGTGAGTACAGTTGCAGTGCTATGGGTGGAATGGAAATGTTTCTTATGCGCAATGGCCTGGCCACTGCCAAACCCAATACTAGGTTCAATTATTTCCAGGGGAACATCCACACCAGCGTCACCAACACATCACTCCATTGAAGTACGGTAACGGAAGTGGCTGGAGAAATCAAGGACACGTTTTATTACCAAAACCAACGCATCATGAAGGTATGGGAAATAGCTGGAGTAAGCATCGACATGATTTATTACCTAGCAAACTCAGGGTCCTTGCTGGTTTCAAGCTCCAAGGGGCAAGAAGAGTAGGTAGGTGAGGTCCCACACGAGCTATAACAGAGTTGGCAAGCACCCTCAGGGTCCTTCTGGCTGGTGTGAAGCTCCGAGGGGCTGGACCGGAAGAGTTGCTAGGGGAGGACCCACACGTGACACAAGCTGCCGGTATAGCCGTATTTCCAGCTGCCTTGTTTGAAAGCAAGCACCCTCAAGAGACACGCCCCGTGCTTACGCCGCCTTGAGCACTTCTGTGAACTGCAGGTGCAAGAAGAACCAGTATTAGAACCTGATTTGCTTGACATGCGACAGATGAAAAAAAAAAAATTCAGAATGGCCAGTAGCAAGTCTCAAGGTCACCTTTCCCTGGTTCTTCTGGAAAGATATCGCACTCACTCCAGTCATGAGCTCCACCTGCGTCGAAACCCTTATCTGATGACTCCATACTGCAAACAAATGCAAACTTGGTCAGCATCCGTCATTTGAAGGTTACGATTACCCACCATGGGGTGAAGGGCAACCCAAGCCCACTTACTGTATCCACCAATTTTTCCGTTGTAAGCCATCCACTTGTTTCTTCCCGTGAATAGCTTCGCGCGGTCCGCATTTGACATGGAGTCGGACATATCGCTTTTCACGTGAACATACTCAAAGGCAGAGTTTGGGTTGTCAAAGGGCGCCCATGCAACTCCTTTGTTGGCAGTGTTGTCGCAAACACCGAAGTGGCAATTGAAATCACCTGAAATGAGAAGTTAGAGCAGCAACGAGGTTCAGCCTCTGCGTAAAAGAAGCGCTGGAAAGATACCGGGTGTTACTCAAGCTACTACTCACCGGCGCTAGGGTAATGCTCATGATTCCCCTTGGCGACATACACAATGGGATGCGTTCCCAGCACTGTAGCGAAGTTCTTTGACTTAGGGTCATTCCAGTCAGCCCCGGTGTCCCACGCCCACACGGGGCCGTCGCCGTGCTGCGCGTACCAAATGCGCTGCGTCTGGCCGGTCTTTGAGAAGCGGATTGCAATCGCCACCAGGTCCGTGATGTGGTTGTACTCGCGGAGGATGGAGGCGTAGTTCTGTAAATATATTAGATGCAGGGATAGATTAGCGATAAAACGTCACAAAAGAGGCAGGAGTGTATTGAAAAAGTTGGGGTGGAGAGGGGGATGGGGGGAAGTGTGGGAGGGAAGGAAACAAGTGGAATGGGGGAGGGGGGGAAGTGTGTGAGGGAAGGAAACAAGTGGAATGGGGGAGGGGGGGAAGTGAGTGAGGGAAGGAAACAAGTGGAGTGAATCCAGACCAGCAGACTACTTGGAATACTCACATAGGGGTAGAGCATCCAATACTGAATCTCCACAAACGAATCAGCGTCGTCCGGCTTCGGATTATAGATGATCGTGTACACCTTCGTGCCTCCTTTTGATGGGTTGTGCGCCGAGTCCTTCACCCAATCCGTATCCTTGGTAATCTCGTCGCGCGAACTGAGCAGGACAGTTCGGCCACGGTCGGTCTTCAACACCCCATCCCCCAGCAGCGTATCGAGGTTCTCGGGAGTGATCGGGCCCGCCTGGTACTGAATCTCTTTAGTCTTGTAGTTCTCAGTGTACTGACCGATGGACTCTGTCACATGGGTGAGGTATTCGTCGATCGTGATTGGCCATATGGTCTCCTCCGGGTGAAACTTGTACTGCAGGGAGTACTTGACGGCCAAGTCCTCCCAGAACGGATCGCACGCGGGGCTCGTTTTCGGATCAAACATGCACGGGTCCACCTTTCCAGCAGGCATGGGCGGATTCGCGTTGCGAACGAGCATGGCGAATTGCGACTGGAACCACTGGCCAGCTCGCGGCGCGTCTGCCAGGGCGTCCAGGCCCAGGGGGTCAAGAGGGTCGCATTCGCGATCCACGGCAATCACGCCCAGAATCTTCCTTCTGAATCAGATGCACCGTGGGGAGGGAGAAAGATACGAGTGACGATGTAAATAAAGCATAGTGAAGGTGTCTGAGAAGATAGATACAAACGGGAAGGAGGGGAAGAGAGATGCCTCATGGGGAGGGAGGAAGAGAGATGAGTGACCCGAAGGTATCTGGAAAGATAGATAACCCAAAGGAGAAGGAGGGGGAGAAGAGACACTATAAGGATACTATTAGGACCACTTGCACCACTGCGAAACTATCAGGAAGGAGCACCCCGAGCGGTAGTACGACACACACGCGTGGCCATCGCTTTCCCCAGGCGGCTTGATCCAGACCAGAGCGTCAACTGCCAGCAGGGCAAGCAAGGTGTGCGCCAAAGGAACGGAGCCTCGTGAGTCAAACGGAATCGCTGGGATAGAACAGAAAAATGAACCAAACACGCAGGATCCTGGTAGTGGTACCAAGTGCTCACCTTGCGGAGCACTTCCGGGATTCGCCTCGGGGCGCTGTCCGATCCCCGCGCCCTTCACGTTGCACCACGACCCCCAGCGGTTGCGAATGCCAGCGCGGCCGGACCGGCTGGTATCCACGATCCACCTGGTCGGCAATCCCAGGGCTCCCAGGTACGCATTCATCCGTGCGGTGAATCGGTACTCGTCAAGGGTTCCAGTCGTAGTTAGTCTCGCCCGTGCTCGGGTTCTTCACCAGCGGGCATTTCTCCAAGGCGGGACAGACGGAGGGTAAGAGCGGTAAGATCCTCGCGAAGAGCGGGCTATAGTTGGCCACGTTGGACGCGAAGCCGCGGATCTTGGCGTTCGCGCGGATCTGCCGCGCGCGCGCGAGGACCTTCATGTACACCGCCACCACGCGCTTCATTCCCTCCGGCCACCCTGCTCACGCGACGGGGGAAGGTGGAGTGGGGGGGAAGCGTGAAGTCAAGCAGCGGAATAGATTGCAGCATTGGACTGAATCACACGGGCGTACGCGCGGCAGACACACTCACCGAGCCAGCCGCCGAAGCCCGAGTCGAGATAGAGCGTGGTGTCGGGGATCTGCGAGAGCTCCGCGATGGCATACGCGACGCCCTCCGTGTACTCCTTATCCGTCGTCGCGTCGCACCGATTCATCCCCATGTTCGTCGCGATGTTGGGCAGCGAGTCGGGCTCGATCACGAACGACAGACGCACGTTCGCCGCCTTGTTTTTAAGGCGCGCCACGGCAACATCGATGTACTTGCTCTTGTACGTGTCGAGGCCGCCCTTGGGAATCTCCCCATTGGACGACCACGCCTTGCAGTCGCGGCCCGGGAGGTCGTGGATCACGAATTGCACGAGAATCGCCTTCCCGCCCGCCTGAGCCGCTGCGTCGTCAAGATGGCCTGGGATGGAATCTAGGGACGCCATATTGTCGAGCCACACAGCCGTCGGATTCTCCGCCACGCTCGCGAAAAACGGCGCGTCCTCGCGAGACGCGGCGAGCATTGCGGATTTCACGCTCGCCGCGTACCCGCGGTTGAGGTACTGCTGGACTCCCGTGTACGGGTTGCCGGTCGCGCTATCGCTGACGCGGTAACCGCACGACGTGCCAGTGGCGACGACCAGTTCAGTCGCGTTGATCGCCCCCTTCAGCCAGCACGTGCCGCCGTTAAAGGCACTCCACGTGAAGTGCGTGCAATCCGCGCGGCTCAGGCACTGCGGTCCGCAGGTCTCCCCCATGCCGGCGGTTCGGCCAATGTCGTTGCCCTTCCAGTCGCAGTTGAGCGACCACTGTACTTTCCCGGCCTCGGAGCTAGAGAAGTCGAATGCTGACGTGGCTCTCACTGAGAGATCGAGAGCCACCAGCACTACCACTAGTACTACGGGTGCCAATGTAGTCGAAAGGAAACTCGCGGCCACCATCGTTTCGGCTGGTTTACAGGAAGGAGTGAGAGAGTTACAGAAAACTCTCGGCGAGTCCGTCCCTTTTGAACGCTTGGGCGAAGTCGGACTGCGGCTCGGATCGCATCCGCGGTAAGTACGGATCGAGTCGCCTCCATCGTTCTACTTTGGCGACGTACGGTCCGAGGCATGTATCCTGACGATTATTGGTGTCTTCTCGGCTTAGTGTTGTGCCCCGCAAGTCACGCAATGCACCCTCCTACAATAAGTGTGACTCCCATGGCGTAAGGAACCTCTTGGCAGATCCGTAAGAAGTGCACCCAGGCGCAAATCCGCTTATCGTCGTACAATGCGGTTTAGAAGGTTTCCACTCGGTATGGCGCAGCTTTTCGTGTTTACCGTTTTGGAATGCAACCCACCAACAAATGTGGGGAACACCCTCGATGGCGATCGCAAAGTTTGCCCGAATTTGACTTCGCGATTTTCGTCGAACTACTTACAGCTGCTCGTCCGCGTTTCGCCGTGCACCCCTGACCCGCCGCGCATACACACGTGTAATTGAACGGGGGCGACAGACGTATCGCCAGCTGTCGCGAACCGAGAGCGATGTTACCCACGTCACAAACACACTTATCCAGACTTCATAAGCAGAACCTAAACGACAGTCTGATTCATTAGGAAATCATCCATGGCGGCCCTTGTCCCTTCCCTTGCGTCGACGAGTCCTTCGGAAATGATACGTATTACATTGTCTCGCCATTTCAGACCCATGCGCTAGCGGTTCGGTTCGAGAATTGCCAACAATTACTAAACAATTACTTGTCAACTCCCAAGTAGCTTGTTATGCATCGTCGACTTCTGGAATCGAGCCGTGCATCGTACGGCAGTCACGAGATGCTTATTACGAGCCGAACACATCATGCATCCGCGGAAGGTCTTAAAGCGATAGAAGTTGGTCGAAAACACAGCGAGCGACAATTTCGACTCGGAAACAACCGCTTGATTTGCGGCGTGACCTGCTTGGATTATAAGGCCATTACTTCAACAATGCGCCTTCCATTGTCACTCAATCGTAGCTGCTCTACGTCCGCACACACGCGCGCTTTCCGTCTCATTTCCTCTGCTCCCCCCCCGCTCCCCAATCCCGTGCTTGCGCCATCAGCTGTGCCAGGCGAATCTTCCCCTGTTTCTCCCCCGCTCCCCATCTCCGAGCGCGCACGCGCAGGTGGACAGGCTGAGCGGGGAGCAGCGGCGGGCGGCATGGGAGGAGCAGCACGAGCGGGGTGCGGAGATACTGCACTCGCTCTGCACCCAGATGCAATGCAGGGTTTCTTCCTAAAGGTACCGCCTCTGCAACCGCGCTCACGCACGTGATTCTAGTTCACCAATGCACGCACATGCAGGGCTGCTTCCTCAAGGTACGGCCGCAGCAGGGCTCCTTCCTCTCAAGGTGGGGTCGCAGCAGCCATGCTCACGCACATGACTTTCAAGTCCGCCTGTGCACCCAAACAGCCAGTGCCACTGCGCAGTGTGCATGTCATTTATCACCAGTGCTGCCAGTGCTGCCAGTGCTGCCAGTGCTGCCAGTGCTGCCAGTGCTGCCAGTGCCAAGCCAAGTTCTCTACCGCAGTGTCAGTTGACATGTGCCGTGCTGTTTCACACCAACCATGACGCTACGTGGTTATTCCCAAGCCAATTTCTCCCTTGTCCTCCCTTTCATGCCACCCACCCACGTCGTGTTATTCATGCCGCATTGTTCTCCCTTCCACGCCGGCCAGTTCCTAGCCAAGCCAAACACGCCCCCCCCCCTGCATGGGTGCGAGGTCGACTCCTCTCCTCGCTCCTCCCATTTCCGTCTCTCCTCTTTCCTCGCCTTCTCCCCGACCCCCACCTCACGCCTCTTTCCCCCCAGGCGGGATAATCCCTAGCCAAGCCGAACGAGTCCCCACCGCGCCAGCATGGGTGCGATGACATCTCCTCTTTGAAGTGACTCTTGAGTCGACTCAAAGGTCGCCAGCATGGGTGCGATGACATCTCCTCTTTGAAGTGACGCTTGAGTCGACTCAAAGGTCGCCAGCATGGGTGCGATGGCATCTCCTCTTTGAAGTGACTCTTGAGTCGACTCAAAGGTCGCCAGCATGGGTGCGATGACATCTCCTCTTTGAAGTGACTCTTGAGTCGACTCAAAGGTCGCCAGCATGGGTGCGATGGCATCGGGTTTCAGACGCATCAAATCTCGGAAATGGCTTCAATGCATCTGCCCATCAGGGTATGTGCTGCTGTCTTCCCTCATCCTGCTTCCCTCCTCCCTGTGGTGCAGATCCGGTACGAGTTTAGCTATAAGCACGACGCAGCAGCCATGAACGTTTGAGACGGCTCAAGTCTCGGAAACAGCGCTCAAAGGCACTACTGAGCGTGTGCTGCCCTCGTTCCTCATCCTGTGCCCCTCCTCCCTCGTCGCTGTGATGCAGATCCGGTACGAGTTTGACTTTGAGCACGAGGCAGCAGCCATGAGCGAATCAGGCACGCTCTGGCACAGCCGGAAAAGGGCGAGATGGCAGGATGAAGGCGGGAGAAGCATGGGAGGATGCAGAGCAGAGCAGCCGGCGCAAAGGAGGACGATGTGTGGGCCATGGTGGTACCAGCAGCGCAGATAGGGCGGATTTGATCCGATCATTCTGAAAAACGACCTGCAAAGGAATGCGGAGCAGCTGGCGTGCAGGCAGACGTGGTGTGGGTCATGCTGCCGTGGTGGTACCAGCTGGGCGGACACAGTGGCGGGCACTGGGTAGGGGGCGCAGGGGGGGTAGGGCGGGCAGGGTGGGCAAGGGGGGTAGGGCAGTCATGGGGGATCATTGCAAAAAATGCAAGCCATGGGGTGATTAGCTGGCGGAATGATGGGAGGAAGGGGGGGACGAGATGTGGGGATCGACATGGGGGTGAAGACAACGCGAGGAGTGGAGAGGGGGTGGATATTTGTGTGTCACCTGTCATCGTTCCAGCAGCCATATCAGGTATCGTCACCAGGTGGTAATGGTGCTGCTGCTGCCGCTGGTGCTGCTGCTACTGCTGCTGCTACTGCTGCCCCGTACTTGCTTGACATTTGAATAACTTTTCTCCACCTATTTTCCACTATCCCTTCCTTTCCTGCTGCCTATCGCAACCCCCGATTCACCTCCAATGTTCCCCTTCTTGCTTCTTCCCATGCCCAACACTCTCTCTCCACGCATCCCTTCCTTTCCCCAAGCCCTTTCCCCTCCTGTCAGTCTCAGGTGCCTACTGGTCCTCAGTCATCTTCCAGTGAGCAGCAGTGTTTAGGGATCTAGGCTTAAACAAGCAGCAAAAACAGTGTAAAATTTTCAGTAGCTAATAGCCGAGAGTCTATGAAGCTGGGGCTCTTCTCGTTCCCATGCCCTTGTTGCTATTTGCTCTCCACGCGTCCCTTCCCTTCCCCAAGCCCTTTCCCCTCCTGTCAGTCCCAGGCGCCTACTGGTGATGGATTGGTCAAGCGCACGCCCCTGTCGTTCTGACCAGCGCCTTGTTCTCCCCGTTCCCATTCCCCTTGTTCCCTGCCTCTTTGCCCTCTCCCGGTGCCCACTCTCCCCTCGTTGGCTGCTGCTGCACGAGCAGGGAGGTAGCGCAGCAAAGACGCCTTGTGCTTGGCCTGCAGAGTTGAAGTGTCTGCTTCACCTGGATTGCATGCAAACTTTTGTTTGTAGGGCTGCATTCGTCGTAATGTACCGTATTTTGTTTCTCCAATAAATATTAGTACTGCATATGCAAACAAGGCCGCCACACCCTGAAAAATACACAAGCTCACAAATCCAGAATCTTTCATGCGACACACTCTGAGCCCTTCACATCATTCTCCACTCCTACACTAAGCCATGCCAAGCCATGTGCCACAAGAAGTAACACTGCCTCCTTCAATGTGAAGAGGGCTCCCTACTCACTCACCCCTGTACCACGAAAGAGTTTCACAACTCTCCTCCTCAGCGGGAGATGGGCTGCACCACGAGGGGGGAACGCACGCTGTGGCCCTGGTTGTCAGCCCAGACTATAAACCCGTACTGGAAGTCATTACTGGGGGTATCCACCGTGATCGTCAGCGTGTAGGTGGCCTTCTCCCCGGGAGCCAGAGTGAGGTTCCTAGGGCCCACAGTCACCTTCACGCCCTGCGGGGGCTTCCCAGATACACTGTACGTGGACCGGGACTGCCCCACGTTGGTGACGGTGCGTGTGACCTGCAGGGAGCCCTACAGGCGAGGCAGAGTGATGGTGGGCAGGTTGAGGTTCCGAACAGCCAGAGGAGAGAGCGACACCCCTGGGAACTCCTTTTTCGCGCGGTTCAGATCCTGCCCGGCGAGGAAATTCTGGTAGTCGCGGTCGCGGGCATCGTAGGTAAGCCCGGGGTCGAGCATGGCCGGGGGGAACACATGGCCTGCGCCCATCTCCCACGGGGTGGCCTCCCCGCCTGTCGCACTCTTGATCGGGCTCTTGCTCGTGTCCGTCACCCGCGCCGTCGTCATCAGTGCTGACATCACCTGCGCCGGGGTCCAGTTGGGGTACTTCTGGATGATTAAAGCAGCTAGCCCGGCTAAATGCGGGGTGGCCATGGAAGTGCCAGACATGCGGGCGAGAGCGCCTTGCTCGCCGGGTTTCTTGCCGGGAGCAGCGGCTACGAGGTCCACTCCGGGGCCGATGATGTCGGGCTTTAAGATGGCGTTGCCTGGCTTGGGGGGCTGGGCCGTGGCGGAGGGCTGCAGCAGGGGGCCGCGGGAAGAGAAGTCAGCCACCACGGGGGCGGAGGAGGATGCAGTGGTGAACGTGATGCCGCCATCCGCAGTAAGAACGGTGCCGCTGCCGTCCGTGCCGTCCGTGCTGTTGCTGCCGCCAGTGCCGTTGCAGCTGATGTTGCTGTTAGTGCTGGCGCTGAGAGCGAGCGACTGAGCGCCAGCAGTTGAGGCGAGGGAGGCGCCGCCGCGGGCAATGGTGCTGGCGCCAACGGTGAGATAGAACGGGGCGAAGTTGTCCAACGTGCGGAAGAACCCACCACGCCCGGGCGGCCCGGCGTTGCTGGCAGCAAAGGCGACAAACACGCCGGCAGCATTGGCGCGCATGAAAGAGAGGTCGTTGAAATAGTTGTCGTCGGGATTCACGCCGCCCAGAGACAGCGACAGCACATCCACACCGTCCGCCACGCCCTGATTGACGGCTGCGATTATGTCTGATTCCGTGGCGTACATATCCCCGTTGCCGTCCGTCCAGAAGACCTTGTACGCCGCAATGCGCGCTGCCGGCGCCATGACGCTCACGGGGTTCCCCGCGGCCGCCCCCGCGCACCACGTGCCATGGCCGTCCGCATCTCGCGGCGTGAGCCAGTCGTTGCTCAGAACGGGCCGGCCGCTGCTCTGCTGGAAGCCGGCGTAGAAGGCCTTGGCGCCGATCACCTTGTTGTTGCACCGGAACGAGCTCGACTGCTCGCACTTGCCCTTCCACCCCGCGGGCAGCTGCGAGGAGAGGCCCTTATCGCTGAAGGACGGGTGTTCGGGCCAGATACCCGTGTCCACGATCCCCACCACCGTGCCCTCGCCCGCCTTGCTCTGCCCGCCCACTGCCGGCCACACCTTCCCGGGCAGCCCCAGGAACTGCGGCGAGTCGCTGGTCTGCCGGCGGAACACGCGGCTGGCGCGCACGGACGCCACGGCGGGGTGGCGCTGCAGCCGCCATGCCTGGCGCGGCATGAGGCGCGCGGCGAAGCCGTTGGACGTGTGCTTGTAGCTGTAGAGCAGCCCGTCCTTGAAAGAAACCGTTCTGCTCTAAGTGACGCCACAGAATAAACTTGGCGAGTTAGAGGCAGAGCCTAGGATCAATCCGACGGGCTCAGAGCAAGGATTCCGTAGAACTTGAGATCACAGAAATCGCCCAAGTAACGAGAGAACAATTGTATATTATGCAAGGAGGGATACACAAGTCGTCAATGGAATAAACTCTCTGTTTTCCTCTCTGGATTTTATAGCTAAAACACACATGCAGAAATGTAACATCGAACCGAGCGCGACTCGCCAGAAATTCGGACTCAGGATTGCGTCCAATTTCCGCGACGTCCGCGTTCACAATTTCGGACTTTGCCGGGTTCGTTTCTTCACGCCGACAATCGTGTGTTACAAGGAACAATAGCGAGTGTAGCGAAATGTTCGTAACATTCGCTTGCACTCTCGCTATTTTCGTGCATGCATGTGGGGCTGCCAAGTGTCGGCCCCACAAATATTCGGACCCAACCGGGGGAAGTTCGGTTGCGTGGCGACGCGGACAATCCGCCGTCACCCCAACCTTCCAAGAAAAAACCCTCCCTTGGTCCGAGTCAAGGGAGGTCTTCGCGTGGGGGGCAATCCCGTCCCCCACACTTCCAACACTCCCCCTTGCACCCCACGCACATCTAAGCATGCAAGCCTACCCTAGCACAACATGCATGAAGAGCATCTCTAGGCAATGGCTTGGTGAGGAAGTCCGCGGGCTGCATGTTGGTCTTGATGTAACGAAGCTCGACTTCGTTGTCTTCAACGAGCTTACGAATGAAGTGGTGGCGGATTTGAATATGCTTGGTCCTTTCGTGGAGGACCGAGTTCTTGGCTAGGCCGATGGCGGCTTGGTTGTCCACGTAGATGAGAGTGGGGCCTTCTTGTTTGTGCCCAAGCTCGGCAAGAAGGCGCCTTAGCCAAACCGCTTCCGTACCACCACGAGTGAGCGCCACATACTCCGCTTCGAAGGAGCTAAGTGCAATCAAGTTTTGGCGCTTGCTTTGCCAACTTATTGCACCTCCCACGAGGGTGAAGATGTAGCCCGAAGTGATTTGGCGGGTTGAAGGATCTCCCGCCCAATCCGCATCCGTGTAGCCTTGTAGCACCACGGGTCCCTTCTCGTAGTGCAACCCCATTGGAGTGGTGCCCTTGATGTAGCGAAGAAGGCGTCGTGACGCTCGCACATGCTCGACCATGGGGTTGGAGACGACACGTCCAAGCACTCCAACGGGAAAGGAGAGGTCGGGTCGAGTGCTCACCGCGGCATACATGCACGACCCAACGACCGAGTGGAAGGCCTTGGCGCTCTCGGGATCCATCGGGTTTTCGTCGCTTACGGCCAAGGGATGAAACGCCGCTTCCATGGGTGTCGGTGTAGGCTTGCTCTCGATCATGCCGAAGCGATCCACCACACTCTCCAAGTACTTGTGTTGGTGGAGAGCGAGAGTCTTGTTCCCGCGATCACGATCGATGTGCATCCCTAGGTAGTGGGAGACGGCGCCGAGGTCACGCATGGAGAATTCGGCGGCAAGCTTCGTCTTCACGTCCGCTACAAGGGTCTTGGAATCCGACACGAGGAGAAGGTCGTCGACGTAGAGGAGAAGAACGAGCTTCTTCTCATCCTTGTTGAGCACGTAGAGCGCGTGGTCACACTCGCTCCGCACGAACCCCAATGAGAGCAAGTGTTCGTCGATCCTCGTGTACCACGCACGAGGGCTTTGCTTGAGGCCGTAGATGGTTCTCTTGAGCTTGCACACGCGGTTGGAGTCGTCGTCGAACCCGGGAGGTTGCTTCATGTACACCTCCTCCTTGAGACGACCGTAGAGAAACGCCGTCTTCACGTCGAGTTGTTCCACCTCCAAGTCGAGTGCTCCCGCCAACGCCAAGAGGGTGCGCAACGTAGCGGACTTGGCGACGGGAGCGAACGTCTCGTTGTAGTGAAGACCCTCCTTTTGCGTGTAGCCTTGCGCCACCAACCGCGCCTTGTACCGCTCCACTTCTCCATTGGGGCCAAGCTTCTTCTTGAAGACCCAACGAGAGCCAACGAGGTAGGCGCCGGGAGGCATGGTGACAAGCTCGTAGACGTCGTTCGCCATGAGTGAATCGTACTCCTCTTGAAGCGCACGTTCCCATTCCGCCGCTTCCGCCGAGCTCATGGCGCCTTGGTAGGTGGAGGGGGTATCGGTGTATGCCTCAAGACACATAGCATCTCCCCCTCCCTCATCGTCCCCCGCCACAAGAGAATATCCGTCATACTTGGAGTTGGGATGAGGGTTCCTCCGAGTGCGAGTGGATGCGAGGGTGGGAGTGATAGTGGGAGGAGGAGACGAAGGGTCACTTTCCTTGGCATTTCCTTCATCCCCACTCACTCCAACCGCACCCGATCCATTCTCCCCCTCACTCGTACTAGGAGGAGGAGCCGTAGGAGCTTCATCCGCCTCATCCGCGGCATCCAAGGGAGGAGGAACGATGATGACCGAGGGCACGTTCATTGACTTGGACGGGAAGGTGTCTTCATAGAACACCACGTCGCGCGACACCACGAGTTTCCCGTGCTCCAAGTCCCACACACGCCACGCCTTGTGATCCGCGCTTGGACCCAAGTACATCGCCACCCGCGCCTTCGCCTCAAGCTTGGTCCGTGTGGCATCCGGGACATGGTAGTAGCACGTACACCCAAACGTGCGAAGGTCGGAGACGTTCGGCTTCGTACCGCTCCAAGCCTCAAGAGGCGTCGTGCTCGGCAACGCCTTGGTCACGCACTGGTTGCGAATCCATGTTGCCAACGTAACCGCCTCGCCCCACCAATGCTTCTCCGCGTGAGCATGGGAGAGGAGGCTTCGTGTCGACTCCATGAGCGTGCGGTTCAAGCGTTCGGCCGCACCGTTTTGTTAAGGCGTGTACGGCGTCGAGAACTCATGCGCGGTCCCACGTCCTTTCAACCAATCGCCGAGCTCCCGAGCGGTGTATTCGCCACCTCCATCCGAGCGAAAGCGCTTCACCTTGAAGCCGCTTTCCGTCTCCACATCCGCTACCCATTGCTTGATGGCGGTTGACGTGGAGTCCTTGTTCTTGAGAAGCCGAATCCAACACATCCGCGTCGCGTCGTCGAGGAGCGTGAGGACGTAACGCGCGCCGCCCTTCGACGCGGGAGTGATTGGTCCGCACAAGTCCGTGTGAACGAGCTTGAGAGGTTCGGTGGCGTTCGGCTTCGTGCTTGGTGGAAATGGCTTCCGTGCCATTTTCCCTTCCAGGCAACCGACACACTTCTCGTCGTCTCCACCCGAGCGCACATACTCCAAGCCGTCGACAATCCCCTTTGTTGCCATAGCTTGAATAGCGGCGTGGTGGAGGTGGCCATACCTATTATGCCACGTCGAGAGAGTGGTTGTCGAGGTAGCCGCTTGAGCCGTCGCCACACTTGGGAGAGCGTCGAGCACGAAGAGTCCTCCCGCTTGGCGTGCCGTGCCGATGTGAACACCATCCGTCGTGCTCAACGCCATGATGGTTCCCTCAATGTTCACACGCATTCCTTTGCGTGTGAATTGAGAAACCGAAAGGAGGTTTGCGCCAAGCCCCGGGACCACCAAGACGTTCTTGATGGTGAGTGGACCGCCGTCCACCATGAGCCGCAAGTCACCTTGTCCCGTGACATCCAACGTGTCACGGTTGCCGAACATCACGCGCTTAACGGGAGCCTCCGTTGTCACGTTGTTGAGAAGCGTCGCGCACGCCGTCATGTGTTGAGTAGCACCCGTGTCGAGTACCCATGCGTCAACACCATCGACGGTTGTGCCACTTGCAACGAAGACGAATTCCCGGTCGTTGTTGTCGCATGTCGCCACATGCGCGCGCCGGTTGTCGTCACTTGAAGACGGCCTCCAATTTGCCGGCTTGACGGGACAATCGCGCCACCAATGTCCGGTCTTCTTGCAAAATCGGCAAGCTCCGTCGCGCGTCCGAGCTCGATTAGCGTTGGCCGGTCCTCCTCGTGATGAGCTTGAGGCCGCCGCGCTCCCGTTCGAGCTCCCGCGGTAGTTGCCGTCGTTGCGCCGCTTCAAGTGAGCCGCCCCTTTCGCCTTCGCATCGCGGGAGAAGTGTGCCGCGCCAATTGCATCGCCATGCAATTTCGTGCGCCTCGCCTCTTCGTTGATGAGGCGTGCCACCACTTGCTCCTTCTTCCATGTATCTTGCGTACCATCCAACATCGTGATCACCGTTGACCATGCTTCACCGAGGCCCGCGAGGAGCGTCATGATCCAATCGTTGTCTTCCACGCTCGCGTCGAGTTCCACCAAGCGCTCGCCAAGCTCCTCCACGCGGTTGACGTACGCGCGCATTGACTCGCCGTCCTTCATCCGCACCGTGAAGAAGTCGAGGCGCGCTTGAAGCTTGCTATGAAGCGACTTGGAGACGTGCTCTTCTTCGAGTCGCTTCCATGCTTCACGAGTCGCGCCTTCACGGTCGATGCAAGTGTCGAAAGACTAGGCAAGAATCAGAAACAGGAAAGAGGGGTTTTCACTAGCAGCAGTTGAGATACATATAGGAAACCCTAATTGGGTTGTACTCGCTATAGAGTACCCCACTGCAGGCTAGACAAACATCGACATTCTGACACACCCCCATAGTCAAAGTGGGGTACAATCAACACAACAAGCAGGCAGTGCAATAGTTCACAAGGATAAGCAAAGCTAGAGGCTATCATAGAGGGCAAGTGAGGAGGAGGAGAAACTATGGAGGACGAGAAGATGAGAGGCGACGGCTGAAGCTGCAGACACACGGGCAACAGGAGTGCGCAGCACTGACGCTACCAGGCTAAACCCGGGCTACACGGCGACAGGCGCAGCTGGCTCACTGTGCTCCCAGGAGTGCTCACACTGTGGCTACCGGGCGCAGAGCCCCGGACTACACGGCCACAGGGGGTCGTGGCTCTCTGGACTACCAGGAGTGCTCACACTGTGGCTACCGGGCGCAGAGCCCCGGACTACACGGCCACAGGGGGTCGTGGCTCTCTGGACTTCAGGCGCTGCAGACGACAAGTCGGCTACCTCCGGTCAACCTCCCCAACTGTCCCACACCCCTTTCACACACACCCTGCTGAACCACTAGCACCGCTCACACGCCACCCCCCTCGTACCACTCCGACGGCTCCAACACATCCACCCCCCTCAGCGGCAGCTGCAGCAGTGGGAGACGGAGGAGGAGGAGGAGCAGGGGACGTCTCACACACACGGCACCCCCATACTCTCCACCCCCAAACCCTAACACAGGAACGCGGGCAGCAGCGGGGGTGGGGCGCGGTCAGAAGCTCGGGGGACGGCGTGCAGCACAGGGGAAGACGGTACGGGCCGCTCACGGGCCTGGCGCAGGCCGGACGAACCGCGCGCGGACTGCCCGAGCCGCGCGCGGGCCTGGCGCAGGCCGTACGGGCCGCGCGCGGGCTGTACGGGCCGCGCGCAAGCCTGGAGCAGCCCGTACGAGCCGCGCGCGGGCCTGGCGCAGGCCGTACGGGCCGCGCGCGGGCCTGGCGCAGGCCGTACGGGCCGCGCGCGGGCTGTACGGGCCGCGCGCGGGCGTGGCGCAGGTCGCGCGGGCCGCTACGGGCGACGGGGGGCGACGCGCGGGTCCCCGGGGGCGCTGCGACGGGCGACGGGGGGCGACGCGCGGATCGACGGGGCAGAAAACCGCCGCGCGCCTCGGGGCGCACGGCGGGCAGAAAACCGCCGCGCGCCCCGAGCGCGCGGCGGGATGAAAAATACGCCGTGCACCCGAGCGCACGGCACGCAGAATACGTCGCGCGCCCAGGGCGCGCGATAGGCAGGACAACAGCGGAAGCATTAGGTGGCGGGCCCATCCACAGGATCGACCCAGGAGGGTCGACCTGCTCTGATAGCATGTCGAAAGACTAGGCAAGAATCAGAAACAGGAAAGAGGGGTTTTCACTAGCAGCAGTTGAGATACATATAGGAAACCCTAATTGGGTTGTACTCGCTATAGAGTACCCCACTGCAGGCTAGACAAACATCGACATTCTGACAGCAAGGGCTCACGATGGGGACGAGTTGGAGACTTAGCTTGGACACAAGAAAGGCAAACGCCTTTTTGTCCTTTCGCACCCACGCTTCTTTTTCCGCCGTTGAAGCGTCCGAAGTGGGCTTCGATGCCGACCCATCGAAGAAGCCCCACAAATCGCGCTCCATCATGTAGACCTTGAGCTTGAAGCGCCACGAGGAGAAATGCTCCCCGTTGAAGATTGGCACCGCGCTCAAGTCGACAACGTGCGGCGTTGTCGAGAAGTCCACTGGGAGGGAAGGGGCCGTTGGCGCATTCGTCGTCGACGAATTATCGGAAGAACCCATGGCGTAGCAACGATTGAGCGAGCACTCCTACTCTAGCTCTCATACCATGAAAGAAACCGTTCTGCTCTAAGTGACGCCACAGAATAAACTTGGCGAGTTAGAGGCAGAGCCTAGGATCAATCCGACGGGCTCGGAGCAAGGATTCCGTAGAACTTGAGATCACAGAAATCGCCCAAGTAACGAGAGAACAATTGTATATTATGCAAGGAGGGATACACAAGTCGTCAATGGAATAAACTCTCTGTTTTGCTCTCTGGATTTTATAGCTAAAACACACATGCAGAAATGTAACATCGAACCGAGCGCGACTCGCCATAAATTCGGACTCAGGATTGCGTCCAATTTCCGCGACGTCCGCGTTCACAATTTCGGACTTTGCCGGGTTCGTTTCTTCACGCCGACAATCGTGTGTTACAAGGAACAATAGCGAGTGTAGCGAAATGTTCGTAACATTCGCTTGCACTCTCGCTATTTTCGTGCATGCATGTGGGGCTGCCAAGTGTCGGCCCCACAAATATTCGGACCCAACCGGGGGAAGTTCGGGTGGCGACGCGGACAATCCGCCGTCACCCCAACCTTCCAAGAAAAAACCCTCCCTTGGTCCGAGTCAAGGGAGGTCTTCGCGTGGGGGGCAATCCCGTCCCCCACACTTCCAACAGTCCTCGGGTACGCCCGCCTCAGATGCCACCTGCGCCTGCTGCCGCTGCAGCAGCCCCGCGAACGCCGCCACCTGGGGGCACCCTCCGCCGCCATTCCGACCGCCGTTACCGTTACCGCCGCGACCGCCGCGAGCGTTGGGAGTGGCGGCGGCGTCAGATGTGCCGTTTGCGGGCGGTGATGATGGCACCGTCACGTTTGAGAGCAGCTGGTCGCCGCCGGCGTTGGTGTCGTCCAGATCGACGGTTTCCCCGCCTGCGGCGGCGACGTAATCGCCGGCGGGGAGAATCATCTGCGGCACGGCGTCGCTGTCGCCCTCCTCGTCGCTGCCGTCGTCCCACGTGGCCGTCGCGGGGTAGCCTGCGATTCCGCCGCGGTATTCGGAGAGGGGAGGCGCCGTGCTCAGGCGAACGATGTAGACGGCGGAGATATCCGCTGCTGGCGTCGCGAATTTGCCGGAGTTTTCCCTGGAGGGCGCCGCGAGGTGAGAATTCTCTCCGCCGTTGCGCCATGCGCGATTCAGGCGCCACTCGCGGCTTGCACTGGATGGATGCGCGGCCAGAAGAAGGGCGCACAGAAGCAGCAGCATCGCGATCGTTGGACCGTGCCTCATTGTGAATCTCAAACTTTCGCGTGCAGGTATCGCTTGTAGCAGTGCCGAAGCCTACAAATCGAAGGAACTAGAGGTAGTAGAAGCAACGGACGCTGAGTACTAGTTCTGAGTGCTTGAACTGGAGTGGTTGAATTGTTGATGTGGTTCGAGTGAGGGAGTGGTGGTTTTGTACTCACCAGCTCACAGCAAAATCGCAAATTTGGCTGAGGCCTTGTCGCGCCGCGATGCACCTGCCCATACGGTCAGAATTGCTAGAGGTGCGAAGGTGGGTCAGTTTCGGACTTCAGTTTGGCATGGCGTTGGTGCGTCTTTGGCACTGGTTCGCGAACTTCCGCGAGAAACATCATCAGCATAAGGAAGCTCATCACCACCAGATGCACTACGGCGAGATGCTAGGCCATCTCGTGAACACCTTCGCAAGCTAGTTCCTCTCAGTGGATGTAACCGGCCCAAACCCGTAACGGGCACGCTAAACTTGCTCGCTTCTAGAATTGTGGATTTGCTAGATGTGCTCAGAATGCGGCGCGGGTCCGAAAGAAAGGGCACTGTGAAGTTGACGGGATGTTCTTATTGGTTACGAAATCTTGACGGAATGGACTCGAAACTGGTTACATTGTCCAATCGCTACATAATAGCGGCCCCGTTTTTCGTGATCGTCCTGCGATGTTCGTCGAACTTCAGTCGCGGAAGTCAACACTGGATCCATGCGACTGCTCGGATGTAACGAATAAAGCTTGTAACGAGCACACATAAAAACTTACACGCGAACTGTCTCATGAGATGCATCAAAATTACATTCCACAGAAGACATTCTCCAAGTACTTCAGCCTGGTCATACAACTGGATCATCATCTTCATTTACACACAACACAAATTTGGTTCCCATCAAGTAGCATCAATATATTAGGCAGGCTATGGAGCCTGACAGGCAGCATTTCCAATACCTACAGTTTCCCACTTGGCTAAACGAGCTGACCAAACGACAGCAATGCGTCACGGAACAAGGCAGCAAACTCGTCCGCTGCTCCTGCCGCCCCCTTCACCTTGCCACTTGCCGTGCCGGCACTCGTGTTCACCTGCAGCTCCACTAGGAACATGCCACCTGGCGCAGCATCTGCCTTTTGCGCGTAGAAAAAGAATCGGAAGGCGGGCCGCTGGCCGCCTGATGCCATGCACTGGATGTTCCTGTGGGCCATGTGCCTTAAAAGAGGGGCTGGCGCCGTCAGTGCAGTGATGAACGTTCCAGGCAGCTTCTCCTCCTGCACATTGGCACGAAAACCAAGGAGAAGTAAGTGGGGGTCAGGAATGGGGAGGAAGAGAAAGAGAGGCCCGCAACCAGGCCGATAGGACACATGTATTCACACGGAGACAAGCTAAAGAAGAAAGAGACCCAAGCGAAACCGACCAACCACACCATGAGCGAGAGGCACGCATGAGAGTAGCAGCGACAGGCAGCTGGCTCCACGTGCGCTGGAAGGATGGTGCATCCAGCGCTGCCTTGCACACAGCACCAGCGCTGTCTTTTTTAGTCAGACTCAAAAGCCATCCCAAGGCACACAAGAGGGAAAGCACTCACAAGGGCAGCAGCGACAGGCAGCTGGCTCCACGTGCGTTGGAAGGACGGTGCATCCAGGGATGCCTTGGCACTCAGCACCAACGCTGGCCGCACAGGCGCATGCGCCCCCGACAGCATGTCCTCCAATCCCGCTCCGCCACCTGTCGCTGGCGATGGCGCTGCGAGGCCCAGCAGGCTGTCTATGGAGTCGAACCCGCTGCTGCCTCCTCCGGTGGCTCCTGCAGGGGCTACTGGGGCTGCGGCAGCAGATGCTGCAGCTGCTGTGTTGGCTGCTGCTGATGGTTCTCCTACTGCTGCACTGGGAGCATCTGAGTGGGCGGGTTGCGTGCTCGTTAGCTCTGCAAAGGGGTCCAATGCTGCTGCAGGAGGAGCCGCAGGAGCAGCAGCAGCACCAGCAGGATGTGCGGGTCCATCTGATAGAAGATCCAACGGCAGCAGAGGAGCTGCTGCTGCTGCTGCACCAGCAGCTGCACCACCAGCTGCACCAGCAGCATGACCGTTGGGGACAGCAGCGGTGGAGATGAGAGGCGAGTCGGCGTGCTCCCTGTCCGAGGCGTCGAGGAGCGAGGCAGCGGATTCACCCTGTGAGGCACGGGAAGAAGGAGCAGCGGCAGCGGCAGTGGCATGGCCAGTGGCAGCGGCGGCTGCAGCAGAAGCTGCGGCGGCAGCGGAGGCCACGGATGTGTACTCTGCATCAAGCAGGCTGCGCTGGTCCTTGTCTAGGAACAGGTGCGCGGGCTGGATGGCACGTGGGTGGAGGAAGCAGCAAGGGGAGAGGGAGGATGGGTTGTGGATTAAACTGAGTTGCTCGTGCTGCACGTGATGCAAGTATCCCTGCCTTCAACACATGGGGACATGCATGTCATATAATAACAAAGCCCAACAAGCACAGCATGTGGTAGATGACCAATTGCGAGTTTAACTCGTGAATCGAATCAACGAACACACCTTTTGGTAGACGACAGAGAGGGAGTTGAACTCATCAAAGATGCGGTTATGCGTCTCACTGCTCTGCGAGTCCACAAACCTTGTAATGCGCACCTAGTGGTCCCCAGGCCCACACCTTGTGGTAGGCGCCTTGACAAGCCCCATGCGCACACAAACACACGCTCACCTTTTGGTATACGACGGAGAGGGAGTTGAACTCATCAAAGATGCGGTCGCGCGTCTCACTGCCCTGCGAGTCGACGAACACCGACACCGGCTGCTTCTCCGGGTTGATCACCTGCTCCGCCACGCCCACTCCCGCCCGCAGCAACCGGTAGTACAGCAGCGCTCTGTCATGCACGTCCTGTGGTGGGCTCGACAAGGAAGGGCAGATCGGGAGGGGAGTGGTGCACACATGGCAGGTTGCATCTCCGGGTTGATCACCTGCTCTGCCACGCCCACTCCTGCTCGCAGCAGCCGATAGTACAGCAGCGCTCTGTCATGCACGTCCTGTGGTGCCCAGAGGGAAAGGACATATGGGGGGTGGGGAGGGGGGGGAGGGGGGTTGGTGGGTGGTAGCACACACATAGAGGTTGCTTCTCGGGGTTGATCACCTGCTCTGCCACGCCCACTCCTGCTCGCAGCAACCGATAGTAGAGGAGAGCCCTGTCATGCACGTCCTGTGGTGGTTTTGACAGGGAAGGGCAGTTTTTGGAGGTGCTTGCATGGGGCAGTTATTCAAGCATGATTCATGCAATGCAACGGTGCATGGTCATGCACTTGCTGTGGGCTTTGAAGAAGAAGGGCAGATTCAGAAATGTTGTACACCATGATATGAACTAAGGGTCCAGATAGTTCATATTCCGACCTTCCATTACTCCATTCAGCCCGTATCCCCACCCACTTGCCACAACCGCATCCCACCAGTCACGACCCCACCACACCTGCCGTATCCCCATCCCACCTGCCAGAACCGCGTCCCACCTGCTGGGACTCAGCGAGCCCATGGGCGAGCACGGCGCCCAGCATCTTCTGGCACTCCGGGGGGCGCTTGAAGAACAGCTTTGCCACGGCTGTCAGCAGCTCCAGACGCACCTGCAGGTGGGCGCCAGGTGGTTGGGTGGGAGGCCGTTGGTAAGGAAAAAGTGAGGAGATGAGGGGAGTAGGGAGGAAGGAGGGCGCTTGACGAAGAGCTTCGCCATGGCTGTTAGCAGCTCCAGGCGCACCTGCAGAGCAGACCATGGAGAGGTGGTTGGTAGAGAGGGAGAGAGGAGATGAGAGGTGTAATGTGGGAGGGGGGCGCTTGAAGAAGAGCTTTTCCACGGCTGTCAGCAGCTGCAGACGCACCTGGAGGTGGAATGGTGGCAGGTGGGCGGGTGGGAGGTGGTTGGTAAGGAAAATGTGAGGAGATGAGGGGAGTAGGGAGGAAGGAGGGCGCTTGAAAAACAGCTTTGCCACTGCTGTCAGCAGCTCCAGACGCACCTGCAGGGAAGAGGGGTTGAGGGGTGTGCCAGAGCGTGGGGCTGGTTTGAACACTGCTTTGAGGCACCTATAGCTTCTGAGGCACTTAAACCAAACGGAGTTCTGAACCGTCTCAAAGGCCACCAATGCCTCGCCTTGGCCCGTGGGTTGTGCATGGTGGGATTGCAATCAAGTCGATGCTACTTAGCCGCTGCGCGTCTTAGTCAGCTCTCCTCTCTCACCTCAGCAATCGTCTCCTCCTCCCACGAGCGGACAAACCCCTCGAGCGGCATACTGGGCGTCCCCCATGTGCTGGCCATAATCGCCCAGCATCCACACCAGCGCCGCCTTGCCTTGGCCCGCGGGTCAGTCATTCACTCAGTACCAAGCCACTCTGCTGTGCTGTCCTAGCATTACCTCGGCATTGGTCTCCTCCTCCCACGAGTTGACAAACCCCTCGAGCGTGTACGGGGCATCAGACATGTGCTGCCCGTACTCCCCCAGCATCCACACCAGCGCCGCCTTGGCGCGCGGGTCGGTGACGGAGCGAGAGCTCACAGAGCCCACCACGGCGATGCAGTCCTGCGCCCACTGGGGGTACTTGCGCAGGAGATCGCGCACCAGGACCTGGGGGAGACAGAGGGGGGGGGAGGAGGAGGCGTGGGCATTGCTGGGCCTGACGCACCAGCAACAGAAAGCTCACAGAGCCCACCACGGCTATGCAGTCCTGCGCCCACTGCGGGTACTTGCGTACGAGATCACGCACCAGCACCTGGGGTGTGAGAAAGGTGGAAGGAAATGTATTGTTGAGGTTGATACAAGAGAGCATAGCTGGATCGAAAGCTCACAGAGCCCACCACGGCTATGCAGTCCTGCGCCCACTGGGGGTACTTGAGTAGGAGATCTCGAACAAGGACCTGGTGGGCGGGAAGGAAAGGATGGGAGGGTCAACGTTGGGCCTTACGAGGGCATTGTGGGATGACAGGCACCTACCCCACCACAGCTATGCAGTCCTGCGCCCACTGGGGGTACTTGAGTAGGAGATCTCGCACCAGAACCTGGGGGAGGGGTGGGGTGGGAGGGAGGCAGTGAGGCGGAGGAGGGGACGTTGTTGGGGCTGAGGCAGCAATACAAGAGGGCATAGCTGCGCTGAATGGCACAGAGCCCGCCACGGCAATGCAGTCCTGCGCCCACTGCGGGTGTTTGTGTAGGAGCAGCAGCACCTGGGGGGAGAGACGAGAGCGGGAGAGGGACGTACGCAGTCAGTCTCGGGGAAGAGCAGCAGGCGGTTCATGATGCCAGCAGGCGGTATAGGGTATACTCACAGTAGTTACCTTGCTGGGGCACCCATACCCTATCCCTAATCCCGTCCATGATCCATCCACCAATGCAATACACATACCAGAGTCTCCGCAGTGACATAGTCAGTGTCCATCTCCAGGAACTGCTAACAGGCGGTCCACAATGCCATCACCATTTCACCGATGCATGTGATAGAAGAGCACTCTACGCACGTACCAGCGTCTCCGCAGTGACATAGTCAGTGTCCATCTCCAGGAACTGCAGCAGACGGTCCACCATGCCGCACAAGGGCATGCACCCCACCCACACCCCCTGACTGCTGGGACACCCATGCCATATCCCTCTCTACTACCTTCCATCATGCACATACCAGTGTCTCCGCAGTGACATAGTCGGTATCCATCTCCAGGAACTGCAGCAGACGGTCCACAATGCCATTCACATCGTAGCTCTGCAGCGCTATCTGCCCCACTGCCCTTACCGCCTCTCGTGCGATTGACACATCTACGTCCGCTGCATACTCTGTCAACTCCGTCACTGGGTAGTGAGCGGTGGGAAGGGTAAGAAAAGGGTGGAATGAGGCGGGCCACTCTCAACAGTGCCATTCACATACACATCGTAGCTCTGCAGCACTATCTACCTGCCCCGCCGCCCTGATTGCTTCCCTGGGAGAAGCACAGACAAGAGGAGGAGGGTGGGGAGGACACGACGGGGCGGCTTTGAGGCACTTGAGAAGACGATAGCAGTGCCCCACTGCTCGAATTGCCTCGCGTGCGATTGAGACATCTACATCCGCTGCATACTCTGTCAGCTCCGTCACTGAATGAAGCACAGGGGGGTGAAGGAGGGTAAAGAGGAAACAAGTGCACTTGGGAAGAAGATTGCCGAGCTATCTGCCCCACCGCCCTTATGGCCTCTCGTGCGATGGACACATCTACATCCGCTGCATACTCTGTCAGCTCCGTCACTGGGTATTAAGCAATGAGAGAGAGGAAGGATGGTAGGGTGGGGGAGAGAAGACACAGCCAGGCAACGTGAGATGACGTTTATCTTACACTCGCATGTACAATCTGCTCCCGTCCCCCTTCTCCACAAACCACTCCTCCCCTTCCCCCTTCCCCCTCCCTTGCCCTCAACAATAACGTAGGTGCTACTGACATTGGCGATAGCCGTGAGCATCTGCAGCTTGAGACAATTTCTGCAGCATCTGCAACCCCTTCAACCTAATCCCACTCCAACCCCTTCCCCCCTCCCTCTTCCTCCCTTCCCTCACCAATGTCGTAGGTGTTGCTGTCGTTGGCAATGGCAGTCAACATGTGCAGCTTGAGGCGCTTCACATAGGGCGGGTCGCGGACCTTGCAGTACAGGTGCTTGTAGTCCCCCGCGAACACAGATGGGCAGCGCGAGACGAGCAGGGAGAGGTGGCAGAGCACCGCGTAGGACTGCTCCGTGCTGCACGTGCCCACTAGCGTGAGCAGCGGGGTTTTGATGCGCTCATATACCTGAAAATGGGCCGGTTTATATGGGGGACAGAGGCAGGGTGTAAGGACAGACGGGCAGCGCGAGACGAGCAGGGAGAGGTGGCAGAGCACTGCGTAGGACTGCTCTGTGCTGCACGTGCCCACTAGCGTGAGCAGCGGGGTCTTTATGTGCTCGTATACCTGAGAACGGGTGGTTCATATGGGGGACAGTGACAGGCAGGGGAACGAGGTGATTGTAAGGACAGATGGGCAGCGCGAGACGAGCAGGGAGAGGTGGCAGAGGACAGCGTAGGATTGCTCCGTGCTGCACGTGCCCACTAGCGTCAGCAGCGGGGTTTTAATGCGCTCGTATACCTGAAACGGTAGGGAAACAAGTGTTTGTAGGCAGCGTGAGACGAGTAGGGAGAATGTAAGATTGCTCCGTGCTGCACGTGCTGACTAGCGTGAGCAGCGGGGCAGGAAGGGCTTGGCCGTGGCGAGCACGGCGGCTCTGTTGGCGTGCTGAGATGTTCATCGAGGCAGCCTCAAAAAACACACTGCCACGTGCAGACAGCACGGCATTCCCACCCACGAATCCACTCAGCCACCCACCCACCAGCCCACCTGGTGGTGCACGTCTGGCATGGAGAGAGTGAGGTGCAGGAAGAGCTTGGCTGTGACTATTGGCAGGACAGTCACACACTTGCAGTCACAGCAACACACACGCACACGGCCACAGCAAGCAAGGCATACCCACCCATGCTCCCATGCTCCCGCCCACCCACGTGGTGGTGCACGTCGGGCATGGAGAGCGTGAGGTGTAGGAACAATTTGGCAGTGCCTAGCACAACAGCGCTGTTGGCGTGCTGCAGACGGTCCTCGAGCAGATTCATGAGGTCAAAGGCTTCGCACATACAGCACACACACACAGCCACATGGCGACAGATAGCATTCACCCACCTGGTGGTGCACGTCGGGCATGGAGAGCGTGAGATGCAGGAAGAGCTTGGCTGTGCCGAGCACCACGGCACTGTTGGCGTGCTGCAGGCGGTCCTCTAGCAGGTTCATGAGGTCAAAGGCTTCATCTGGGTGGGAAGGGGTGTAGCGCGATGCCAGGTCTAGTATCGTGCACTGCGCCCACTCACTCATCTCCTTCATACTGGATGGAGGGGACGGGAGAGGTTGGTGGGATGGGTTGCAAGCAGGTGGAAAGGGTTGTTAAGAGGTTGGAAGGGATGGAGAGGGTTGAGTGGGAGGTTGGGAAGGGTTGTTGAGGGGTGGAGGTGAGTGACAGTCATGCAGGTGCAGGCGGTCCTCCAGCAGGTTCATGAGGTCAAAGGCTTCGTCTGGGTGGGAAGGGGTGTAGCGCGATGCCAGGTCTAGCACCGTGCACTGCGCCCACTCACTCATCTCCTTCATGCTGGGTTCAGTGGGAGGGAATGAGGGGGTTGGATAGGATTGTAGGGGGTTGGATAGGGTTGTAGGGGGTTGGATAGGGTTGCAGGGGGTTGGATAGGGTTGTAGGGGGTTGGATAGGGTTGTAGAGGGTTAACGCGGAATGCATGGATGGCATGGTGTGGTCGCCTCACGTCCTGCTTGCTAGGCACATACATGGGATAGAGTGTGCACACACGTTTCTCAACACTGACGCTTCTAAACAAAAGCTGAGCACAGACATTTGAAAAGATAGACGTACCGGTTGAGGAGGGAGAAGACGAGGGCGCGGCCGTGCAGCATGTCACGGTCCCTCACGACCTCGGGATCGCCATCCTCTGCCAGCAACTCCCCTGCCAGTATCTCCTGTAACGCGCTCACACAGTTGGCCACCACCTGTGGGGAAGAGGGGGAGGGGTGGGCGTGTTTTGAGTCGACTAAAGCACACCTGTGCAACAAGCCGCCGCGGTCCCTCACAGCCTCGGGGTCTCCATCCTCTGCCAGCGACTCCCCTGCCAGTATCTCCTGTAACGCGCTCACACAGTTGGCCACCACCTGGGGAATGGATGGAAGGTGGGGGTGGAGAAATCGTGCACAGAGGGCAGGGCAGTGAGGAGTCAGCAATGAAGCACGATGATCCTCCCCCTGCCAGCATTGCCGGCACACACCCGGCGCCAGGTGGTACAGCTTCAGAACACCCATCACCGCCACTGCTCTCACATACGCACTCACGTCACTTGTCTTGTCCCCTGGTGCTCCGGAGCAGGCCTCCGAGCCTTCACTCGCTCCAATAGACATCTCAGTCGACTCACAAGAACCCAGCCCACCTGCGCATCTGGGTCGTCTGTGAGCTTCCTCTTGAGCATGCCGATGTACCCATGCTCGCGGCACACCCCAGGCGCCAGGTGGTAGAGCTGCAGCAGCACGCCCTCCCTCTTAAAGACTTCTGAGTCCAGTCCAGTCACAAAGTGAAACCCACCTGAGCATCTGGGTCGTCAGTGAGTTTCCTCTTGAGCATGCCAATGTATCCGTGCTCACGGCACATCCCAGGAGCCAGGTGGCACAGCTTGAGCACGCCCATCACCGCCACTGCCCGCACGTACGCACTCACGTCCCCCAGCCCCAGCCTTTTGAGTCGATGCATAATCAGAACCCACAACTCACCTGCGCATCTGGATCGTCAGTAAGCTTTCTTTTGAGCATGCCGATGTATCCGTGTTCCCGGCACACAACAGGCGCCAGGTGGTAGAGCTTCAGCACGCCCATCACCGCCACTGCCCTCACATACGCACTCACGTCCCCCAGCCCTCGCTCCAGCGGCCCCACCAGGTACTCCACCAGCCCGCGCACCCGCAGGGAGCACAGGTTGCGGAAGGCTAGGCTCCGTATCATGGGGTCGTCGTCCTGGAGGAAAGAGGTTGAAAAGATGGTGGGAAAAGAAGCATCTCAGCCGTCGCTCCAGCGGCCCCACCAGATACTCCACCAGCCCGCGCACCCGCAGAGAGCACAGGTTGCGGAAGGCTAGGCTCCGTATCATGGGGTCGTCGTCCTGGAGGAAAGAGGTTGAAAAGATGGTGGGAAAAGAAGCATCTCAGCCGTCGCTCCAGCGGCCCCACCAGATACTCCACCAGCCCGCGCACCCGCAGAGAGCACAGGTTGCGGAAGGCTAGGCTCCGTATCATGGGGTCGTCGTCCTGGAGGAAAGAGGTTGAAAAGATGGTGGGAAAAGAAGCATCTCAGCCGTCGCTCCAGCGGCCCCACCAGATACTCCACCAGCCCGCGCACCCGCAGAGAGCACAGGTTGCGGAAGGCTAGGCTCCGTATCATGGGGTCGTCGTCCTGGAGGAAAGAGGTTGAAAAGATGGTGGGAAAAGAAGCATCTCAGCCGTCGCTCCAGCGGCCCCACCAGATACTCCACCAGCCCGCGCACCCGCAGAGAGCACAGGTTGCGGAAGGCTAGGCTCCGTATCATGGGGTCGTCGTCCTGGAGGAAAGAGGTTGAAAAGATGGTGGGAAAAGAAGCATCTCAGCCGTCGCTCCAGCGGCCCCACCAGATACTCCACCAGCCCGCGCACCCGCAGAGAGCACAGGTTGCGGAAGGCTAGGCTCCGTATCATGGGGTCGTCGTCCTGGAGGAAAGAGGTTGAAAAGATGGTGGGAAAAGAAGCATCTCAGCCGTCGCTCCAGCGGCCCCACCAGATACTCCACCAGCCCGCGCACCCGCAGAGAGCACAGGTTGCGGAAGGCTAGGCTCCGTATCATGGGGTCGTCGTCCTGGAGGAAAGAGGTTGAAAAGATGGTGGGAAAAGAAGCATCTCAGCCGTCGCTCCAGCGGCCCCACCAGATACTCCACCAGCCCGCGCACCCGCAGAGAGCACAGGTTGCGGAAGGCTAGGCTCCGTATCATGGGGTCGTCGTCCTGGAGGAAAGAGGTTGAAAAGATGGTGGGAAAAGAAGCATCTCAGCCGTCGCTCCAGCGGCCCCACCAGATACTCCACCAGCCCGCGCACCCGCAGAGAGCACAGGTTGCGGAAGGCTAGGCTCCGTATCATGGGGTCGTCGTCCTGGAGGAAAGAGGTTGAAAAGATGGTGGGAAAAGAAGCATCTCAGCCGTCGCTCCAGCGGCCCCACCAGATACTCCACCAGCCCGCGCACCCGCAGAGAGCACAGGTTGCGGAAGGCTAGGCTCCGTATCATGGGGTCGTCGTCCTGGAGGAAAGAGGTTGAAAAGATGGTGGGAAAAGAAGCATCTCAGCCGTCGCTCCAGCGGCCCCACCAGATACTCCACCAGCCCGCGCACCCGCAGAGAGCACAGGTTGCGGAAGGCTAGGCTCCGTATCATGGGGTCGTCGTCCTGGAGGAAAGAGGTTGAAAAGATGGTGGGAAAAGAAGCATCTCAGCCGTCGCTCCAGCGGCCCCACCAGATACTCCACCAGCCCGCGCACCCGCAGAGAGCACAGGTTGCGGAAGGCTAGGCTCCGTATCATGGGGTCGTCGTCCTGGAGGAAAGAGGTTGAAAAGATGGTGGGAAAAGAAGCATCTCAGCCGTCGCTCCAGCGGCCCCACCAGATACTCCACCAGCCCGCGCACCCGCAGAGAGCACAGGTTGCGGAAGGCTAGGCTCCGTATCATGGGGTCGTCGTCCTGGAGGAAAGAGGTTGAAAAGATGGTGGGAAAAGAAGCATCTCAGCCGTCGCTCCAGCGGCCCCACCAGATACTCCACCAGCCCGCGCACCCGCAGAGAGCACAGGTTGCGGAAGGCTAGGCTCCGTATCATGGGGTCGTCGTCCTGGAGGAAAGAGGTTGAAAAGATGGTGGGAAAAGAAGCATCTCAGCCGTCGCTCCAGCGGCCCCACCAGATACTCCACCAGCCCGCGCACCCGCAGAGAGCACAGGTTGCGGAAGGCTAGGCTCCGTATCATGGGGTCGTCGTCCTGGAGGAAAGAGGTTGAAAAGATGGTGGGAAAAGAAGCATCTCAGCCGTCGCTCCAGCGGCCCCACCAGATACTCCACCAGCCCGCGCACCCGCAGAGAGCACAGGTTGCGGAAGGCTAGGCTCCGTATCATGGGGTCGTCGTCCTGGAGGAAAGAGGTTGAAAAGATGGTGGGAAAAGAAGCATCTCAGCCGTCGCTCCAGCGGCCCCACCAGATACTCCACCAGCCCGCGCACCCGCAGAGAGCACAGGTTGCGGAAGGCTAGGCTCCGTATCATGGGGTCGTCGTCCTGGAGGAAAGAGGTTGAAAAGATGGTGGGAAAAGAAGCATCTCAGCCGTCGCTCCAGCGGCCCCACCAGATACTCCACCAGCCCGCGCACCCGCAGAGAGCACAGGTTGCGGAAGGCTAGGCTCCGTATCATGGGGTCGTCGTCCTGGAGGAAAGAGGTTGAAAAGATGGTGGGAAAAGAAGCATCTCAGCCGTCGCTCCAGCGGCCCCACCAGATACTCCACCAGCCCGCGCACCCGCAGAGAGCACAGGTTGCGGAAGGCTAGGCTCCGTATCATGGGGTCGTCGTCCTGGAGGAAAGAGGTTGAAAAGATGGTGGGAAAAGAAGCATCTCAGCCGTCGCTCCAGCGGCCCCACCAGATACTCCACCAGCCCGCGCACCCGCAGAGAGCACAGGTTGCGGAAGGCTAGGCTCCGTATCATGGGGTCGTCGTCCTGGAGGAAAGAGGTTGAAAAGATGGTGGGAAAAGAAGCATCTCAGCCGTCGCTCCAGCGGCCCCACCAGATACTCCACCAGCCCGCGCACCCGCAGAGAGCACAGGTTGCGGAAGGCTAGGCTCCGTATCATGGGGTCGTCGTCCTGGAGGAAAGAGGTTGAAAAGATGGTGGGAAAAGAAGCATCTCAGCCGTCGCTCCAGCGGCCCCACCAGATACTCCACCAGCCCGCGCACCCGCAGAGAGCACAGGTTGCGGAAGGCTAGGCTCCGTATCATGGGGTCGTCGTCCTGGAGGAAAGAGGTTGAAAAGATGGTGGGAAAAGAAGCATCTCAGCCGTCGCTCCAGCGGCCCCACCAGATACTCCACCAGCCCGCGCACCCGCAGAGAGCACAGGTTGCGGAAGGCTAGGCTCCGTATCATGGGGTCGTCGTCCTGGAGGAAAGAGGTTGAAAAGATGGTGGGAAAAGAAGCATCTCAGCCGTCGCTCCAGCGGCCCCACCAGATACTCCACCAGCCCGCGCACCCGCAGAGAGCACAGGTTGCGGAAGGCTAGGCTCCGTATCATGGGGTCGTCGTCCTGGAGGAAAGAGGTTGAAAAGATGGTGGGAAAAGAAGCATCTCAGCCGTCGCTCCAGCGGCCCCACCAGATACTCCACCAGCCCGCGCACCCGCAGAGAGCACAGGTTGCGGAAGGCTAGGCTCCGTATCATGGGGTCGTCGTCCTGGAGGAAAGAGGTTGAAAAGATGGTGGGAAAAGAAGCATCTCAGCCGTCGCTCCAGCGGCCCCACCAGATACTCCACCAGCCCGCGCACCCGCAGAGAGCACAGGTTGCGGAAGGCTAGGCTCCGTATCATGGGGTCGTCGTCCTGGAGGAAAGAGGTTGAAAAGATGGTGGGAAAAGAAGCATCTCAGCCGTCGCTCCAGCGGCCCCACCAGATACTCCACCAGCCCGCGCACCCGCAGAGAGCACAGGTTGCGGAAGGCTAGGCTCCGTATCATGGGGTCGTCGTCCTGGAGGAAAGAGGTTGAAAAGATGGTGGGAAAAGAAGCATCTCAGCCGTCGCTCCAGCGGCCCCACCAGATACTCCACCAGCCCGCGCACCCGCAGAGAGCACAGGTTGCGGAAGGCTAGGCTCCGTATCATGGGGTCGTCGTCCTGGAGGAAAGAGGTTGAAAAGATGGTGGGAAAAGAAGCATCTCAGCCGTCGCTCCAGCGGCCCCACCAGATACTCCACCAGCCCGCGCACCCGCAGAGAGCACAGGTTGCGGAAGGCTAGGCTCCGTATCATGGGGTCGTCGTCCTGGAGGAAAGAGGTTGAAAAGATGGTGGGAAAAGAAGCATCTCAGCCGTCGCTCCAGCGGCCCCACCAGATACTCCACCAGCCCGCGCACCCGCAGAGAGCACAGGTTGCGGAAGGCTAGGCTCCGTATCATGGGGTCGTCGTCCTGGAGGAAAGAGGTTGAAAAGATGGTGGGAAAAGAAGCATCTCAGCCGTCGCTCCAGCGGCCCCACCAGATACTCCACCAGCCCGCGCACCCGCAGAGAGCACAGGTTGCGGAAGGCTAGGCTCCGTATCATGGGGTCGTCGTCCTGGAGGAAAGAGGTTGAAAAGATGGTGGGAAAAGAAGCATCTCAGCCGTCGCTCCAGCGGCCCCACCAGATACTCCACCAGCCCGCGCACCCGCAGAGAGCACAGGTTGCGGAAGGCTAGGCTCCGTATCATGGGGTCGTCGTCCTGGAGGAAAGAGGTTGAAAAGATGGTGGGAAAAGAAGCATCTCAGCCGTCGCTCCAGCGGCCCCACCAGATACTCCACCAGCCCGCGCACCCGCAGAGAGCACAGGTTGCGGAAGGCTAGGCTCCGTATCATGGGGTCGTCGTCCTGGAGGAAAGAGGTTGAAAAGATGGTGGGAAAAGAAGCATCTCAGCCGTCGCTCCAGCGGCCCCACCAGATACTCCACCAGCCCGCGCACCCGCAGAGAGCACAGGTTGCGGAAGGCTAGGCTCCGTATCATGGGGTCGTCGTCCTGGAGGAAAGAGGTTGAAAAGATGGTGGGAAAAGAAGCATCTCAGCCGTCGCTCCAGCGGCCCCACCAGATACTCCACCAGCCCGCGCACCCGCAGAGAGCACAGGTTGCGGAAGGCTAGGCTCCGTATCATGGGGTCGTCGTCCTGGAGGAAAGAGGTTGAAAAGATGGTGGGAAAAGAAGCATCTCAGCCGTCGCTCCAGCGGCCCCACCAGATACTCCACCAGCCCGCGCACCCGCAGAGAGCACAGGTTGCGGAAGGCTAGGCTCCGTATCATGGGGTCGTCGTCCTGGAGGAAAGAGGTTGAAAAGATGGTGGGAAAAGAAGCATCTCAGCCGTCGCTCCAGCGGCCCCACCAGATACTCCACCAGCCCGCGCACCCGCAGAGAGCACAGGTTGCGGAAGGCTAGGCTCCGTATCATGGGGTCGTCGTCCTGGAGGAAAGAGGTTGAAAAGATGGTGGGAAAAGAAGCATCTCAGCCGTCGCTCCAGCGGCCCCACCAGATACTCCACCAGCCCGCGCACCCGCAGAGAGCACAGGTTGCGGAAGGCTAGGCTCCGTATCATGGGGTCGTCGTCCTGGAGGAAAGAGGTTGAAAAGATGGTGGGAAAAGAAGCATCTCAGCCGTCGCTCCAGCGGCCCCACCAGATACTCCACCAGCCCGCGCACCCGCAGAGAGCACAGGTTGCGGAAGGCTAGGCTCCGTATCATGGGGTCGTCGTCCTGGAGGAAAGAGGTTGAAAAGATGGTGGGAAAAGAAGCATCTCAGCCGTCGCTCCAGCGGCCCCACCAGATACTCCACCAGCCCGCGCACCCGCAGAGAGCACAGGTTGCGGAAGGCTAGGCTCCGTATCATGGGGTCGTCGTCCTGGAGGAAAGAGGTTGAAAAGATGGTGGGAAAAGAAGCATCTCAGCCGTCGCTCCAGCGGCCCCACCAGATACTCCACCAGCCCGCGCACCCGCAGAGAGCACAGGTTGCGGAAGGCTAGGCTCCGTATCATGGGGTCGTCGTCCTGGAGGAAAGAGGTTGAAAAGATGGTGGGAAAAGAAGCATCTCAGCCGTCGCTCCAGCGGCCCCACCAGATACTCCACCAGCCCGCGCACCCGCAGAGAGCACAGGTTGCGGAAGGCTAGGCTCCGTATCATGGGGTCGTCGTCCTGGAGGAAAGAGGTTGAAAAGATGGTGGGAAAAGAAGCATCTCAGCCGTCGCTCCAGCGGCCCCACCAGATACTCCACCAGCCCGCGCACCCGCAGAGAGCACAGGTTGCGGAAGGCTAGGCTCCGTATCATGGGGTCGTCGTCCTGGAGGAAAGAGGTTGAAAAGATGGTGGGAAAAGAAGCATCTCAGCCGTCGCTCCAGCGGCCCCACCAGATACTCCACCAGCCCGCGCACCCGCAGAGAGCACAGGTTGCGGAAGGCTAGGCTCCGTATCATGGGGTCGTCGTCCTGGAGGAAAGAGGTTGAAAAGATGGTGGGAAAAGAAGCATCTCAGCCGTCGCTCCAGCGGCCCCACCAGATACTCCACCAGCCCGCGCACCCGCAGAGAGCACAGGTTGCGGAAGGCTAGGCTCCGTATCATGGGGTCGTCGTCCTGGAGGAAAGAGGTTGAAAAGATGGTGGGAAAAGAAGCATCTCAGCCGTCGCTCCAGCGGCCCCACCAGATACTCCACCAGCCCGCGCACCCGCAGAGAGCACAGGTTGCGGAAGGCTAGGCTCCGTATCATGGGGTCGTCGTCCTGGAGGAAAGAGGTTGAAAAGATGGTGGGAAAAGAAGCATCTCAGCCGTCGCTCCAGCGGCCCCACCAGATACTCCACCAGCCCGCGCACCCGCAGAGAGCACAGGTTGCGGAAGGCTAGGCTCCGTATCATGGGGTCGTCGTCCTGGAGGAAAGAGGTTGAAAAGATGGTGGGAAAAGAAGCATCTCAGCCGTCGCTCCAGCGGCCCCACCAGATACTCCACCAGCCCGCGCACCCGCAGAGAGCACAGGTTGCGGAAGGCTAGGCTCCGTATCATGGGGTCGTCGTCCTGGAGGAAAGAGGTTGAAAAGATGGTGGGAAAAGAAGCATCTCAGCCGTCGCTCCAGCGGCCCCACCAGATACTCCACCAGCCCGCGCACCCGCAGAGAGCACAGGTTGCGGAAGGCTAGGCTCCGTATCATGGGGTCGTCGTCCTGGAGGAAAGAGGTTGAAAAGATGGTGGGAAAAGAAGCATCTCAGCCGTCGCTCCAGCGGCCCCACCAGATACTCCACCAGCCCGCGCACCCGCAGAGAGCACAGGTTGCGGAAGGCTAGGCTCCGTATCATGGGGTCGTCGTCCTGGAGGAAAGAGGTTGAAAAGATGGTGGGAAAAGAAGCATCTCAGCCGTCGCTCCAGCGGCCCCACCAGATACTCCACCAGCCCGCGCACCCGCAGAGAGCACAGGTTGCGGAAGGCTAGGCTCCGTATCATGGGGTCGTCGTCCTGGAGGAAAGAGGTTGAAAAGATGGTGGGAAAAGAAGCATCTCAGCCGTCGCTCCAGCGGCCCCACCAGATACTCCACCAGCCCGCGCACCCGCAGAGAGCACAGGTTGCGGAAGGCTAGGCTCCGTATCATGGGGTCGTCGTCCTGGAGGAAAGAGGTTGAAAAGATGGTGGGAAAAGAAGCATCTCAGCCGTCGCTCCAGCGGCCCCACCAGATACTCCACCAGCCCGCGCACCCGCAGAGAGCACAGGTTGCGGAAGGCTAGGCTCCGTATCATGGGGTCGTCGTCCTGGAGGAAAGAGGTTGAAAAGATGGTGGGAAAAGAAGCATCTCAGCCGTCGCTCCAGCGGCCCCACCAGATACTCCACCAGCCCGCGCACCCGCAGAGAGCACAGGTTGCGGAAGGCTAGGCTCCGTATCATGGGGTCGTCGTCCTGGAGGAAAGAGGTTGAAAAGATGGTGGGAAAAGAAGCATCTCAGCCGTCGCTCCAGCGGCCCCACCAGATACTCCACCAGCCCGCGCACCCGCAGAGAGCACAGGTTGCGGAAGGCTAGGCTCCGTATCATGGGGTCGTCGTCCTGGAGGAAAGAGGTTGAAAAGATGGTGGGAAAAGAAGCATCTCAGCCGTCGCTCCAGCGGCCCCACCAGATACTCCACCAGCCCGCGCACCCGCAGAGAGCACAGGTTGCGGAAGGCTAGGCTCCGTATCATGGGGTCGTCGTCCTGGAGGAAAGAGGTTGAAAAGATGGTGGGAAAAGAAGCATCTCAGCCGTCGCTCCAGCGGCCCCACCAGATACTCCACCAGCCCGCGCACCCGCAGAGAGCACAGGTTGCGGAAGGCTAGGCTCCGTATCATGGGGTCGTCGTCCTGGAGGAAAGAGGTTGAAAAGATGGTGGGAAAAGAAGCATCTCAGCCGTCGCTCCAGCGGCCCCACCAGATACTCCACCAGCCCGCGCACCCGCAGAGAGCACAGGTTGCGGAAAGCTAGGCTCCGTATCATGGGGTCGTCGTCCTGGAGGAAAGAGGTTGAAAAGATGGTGGGAAAAGAAGCATCTCAGCCGTCGCTCCAGCGGCCCCACCAGATACTCCACCAGCCCGCGCACCCGCAGAGAGCACAGGTTGCGGAAGGCTAGGCTCCGTATCATGGGGTCGTCGTCCTGGAGGAAAGAGGTTGAAAAGATGGTGGGAAAAGAAGCATCTCAGCCGTCGCTCCAGCGGCCCCACCAGATACTCCACCAGCCCGCGCACCCGCAGAGAGCACAGGTTGCGGAAGGCTAGGCTCCGTATCATGGGGTCGTCGTCCTGGAGGAAAGAGGTTGAAAAGATGGTGGGAAAAGAAGCATCTCAGCCGTCGCTCCAGCGGCCCCACCAGATACTCCACCAGCCCGCGCACCCGCAGAGAGCACAGGTTGCGGAAGGCTAGGCTCCGTATCATGGGGTCGTCGTCCTGGAGGAAAGAGGTTGAAAAGATGGTGGGAAAAGAAGCATCTCAGCCGTCACTCCAGCGGCCCCACCAGATACTCCACCAGCCCGCGCACCCGCAGAGAGCACAGGTTGCGGAAGGCTAGGCTCCGTATCATGGGGTCGTCGTCCTGGAGGAAAGAGGTTGAAAAGATGGTGGGAAAAGAAGCATCTCAGCCGTCGCTCCAGCGGCCCCACCAGATACTCCACCAGCCCGCGCACCCGCAGAGAGCACAGGTTGCGGAAGGCTAGGCTCCGTATCATGGGGTCGTCGTCCTGGAGGAAAGAGGTTGAAAAGATGGTGGGAAAAGAAGCATCTCAGCCGTCGCTCCAGCGGCCCCACCAGATACTCCACCAGCCCGCGCACCCGCAGAGAGCACAGGTTGCGGAAGGCTAGGCTCCGTATCATGGGGTCGTCGTCCTGGAGGAAAGAGGTTGAAAAGATGGTGGGAAAAGAAGCATCTCAGCCGTCGCTCCAGCGGCCCCACCAGATACTCCACCAGCCCGCGCACCCGCAGAGAGCACAGGTTGCGGAAGGCTAGGCTCCGTATCATGGGGTCGTCGTCCTGGAGGAAAGAGGTTGAAAAGATGGTGGGAAAAGAAGCATCTCAGCCGTCGCTCCAGCGGCCCCACCAGATACTCCACCAGCCCGCGCACCCGCAGAGAGCACAGGTTGCGGAAGGCTAGGCTCCGTATCATGGGGTCGTCGTCCTGGAGGAAAGAGGTTGAAAAGATGGTGGGAAAAGAAGCATCTCAGCCGTCGCTCCAGCGGCCCCACCAGGTACTCCACGAGCCCACGCACTCGCAGGGCGCACAGGTTGGGTAGAGCCAGCCAGGCCCCGGATCCTAGGGCCATCGTCCTGTGGAGCAGGAAGGGGGAAAAGCAGGGTGGGGTTGGGGTAGAGCCGATCGGGACACGGAGGCATGGGGTTGAATACAAGAGAAGGGAGAGGAGAGGAAGAGCAGCACTCCACACCTGCCCACTCCTACCCACACCTCCCTCCTCACACCTCCCCACTCCTGCCCACACGCACCTGGCAGTCGCGCTGCAGGAAGTTGATGGTGAGGAGGGCGAGCTCGGGCTTGGTGGCGGCGTAGGTGGCAACGTAGAGGTAGCACATCTTCTTCACCACCAGGTCCGATGCTGCACTGCACATCACCATCTCGCTGCACGGTGCAGTGCGGTGACCGGAGGTGATACGAGGTGACAAACGGTGATAAGAGGTGATTAGAGGTTGCCAAGGGGAGGAAAGGAGAATGACCAGTGGGGCTCGGGTTAGTGGTGGTCAGCTTTTGCAAAAACAAAGAGTGTAGACGGGAAGTAGGTCGGTCGGTAGACAAGTGCATGAGCCTGAAAAGTGAATGATGTGGATCATAATGGTCCTGGCAGGGATCACAGTGGTTATAACGGGACCAGAAAAGCAAAGAATAAGCCCATAAAAGCGAGCACTGAGTCATACGGCGGCCATGACGCGCACTGAAAGACGGGGACTCGGGGAGACGTCAATCCCAAAGGTCATCTGCTTTTGAGTCGACTCAGATAATCAATTTCGAGTCGAATCAACAGTCATCGAGTTACAGGATGGCTAGAACGCGTACCTGAAGACGGACGAGACGTCAATCCCGATGGTCTGCTCTGGAGTGTACTCGAAAGACAACTTTGAGTCGAATCACAAGTTATCGAGTCACAAGGTGGGCGGGTATGACGCGCACGGCGCACCTGAAGACGGATGAGACGTCAATCCCGATGGTCATGTGCGAGATGACCTTCTTGAAGAGCTCTCGCCGCATCTCCGCCGCTCCCGGCGCCCTGACGGACGGATGCGAGGGGAAGGAGGGGACGATGCGAGGAGGAGGGGAGGATGCGAGGAGGAGGGGAGGATGTGAGGAGGAGGGGAGGATGTGAGGAGGAGGGGAGGATGTGAGGAGGAGGGGAGGATGCGAGGAGGAGGGGAGGATGCGAGGGGAAGGAGGGGAAGATGCGAGGAGGAGGGGAGGATGCGAGGAGGAGGGGAGGATGCGAGGAGGAGGGGAGGATGCGAGGAGGAGGGGAGGATGCGAGGGGAAGGAGGGGATGCGAGGAGGAGGGGAGGATGCGAGGGGAAGGAGATCAGGACTGAGCACCGGCCTGAACACTCTCATGTTTCCGTACACGGACTTCTGATTTTGTCCTACCCATTCTAACCTAATCTGATCCCCATTAAGGATTGTCGTTTGCCTGTTGACCGGTAGGACACAAAAATCAGCAACAGTCTAAAAGCTGGTAAATTGATCTCAACCGTCCCTCGGACGGCGAAACCGTCGTGATCGTCGCGCGCGACTGACCTGCTTCCCGCGAGTTGACCCAGCTGCATCTTCACATCCGCCATCTCTCCCCGTCGATTATCCGCGTTCATCGTGCAGGTCGTTATATTGCTGGAGAAAAAACTAAAAAAGATCAAGGAAGCAGGGACTAGTTTCTCAAAACGTGTTCTTCGTGTGAACAGCACGAAGCATTTTGGAGAGACTCGAGGCACATCACCGACAATGTCAGGCGAGTACGCTTATTGAGCTGTTATCTGTTTCGATAATAACAGGGTTTCACAACTCATTTTCTTACAACTCAAGTTTGGATGACTCCTGAATGGTTGTGCCAAATGTACCAGATGCCAGTCTTGCTTTATCCATGTCCATTCTGTCATAAATTCACAACTCTTCTAATTTTGTTATGATTGATTCCTTGCTAGGTATCGATTGCACGTTGCCCATCTGATTTACCTATATAATAATCTTTAAAAAAAAAAATCAATTATCAAACCCCAATCGTTGGCTTCACACGTCCATTCTCTGTGGCCATCTCGATGTCGGAAACGTCAATTGTTGTTCATCTTAAGTCAACATAACTCAACTGTAATAGGCCTAGTTTATGAAATTAACACTCGACTAACCCTCCTCTTTCGTCTTCAGGTTCATCAAATGGTCCTCCAAGTGACGGATAGTAGCGTATCGTCGTGGTCGTGATCATGCAGCTTATTATTGTCCCTTTGATTTTGTCCTTAGCAGACATTCGGGGAGGGACGCGATAAATTCTCAACATTTATTGTAGCGAGATCACTGGTGCAGGACGATCATGGGACGGCGGAGTTGAACGAATGTGTGGACCGTAGACTGGCTAAATATGGTGCTCTTTCTTGCGGTAAGCATTCGTTCTTTCCACTCCCTTTGTCTTGTAACACTTCTCAAATACATTTTGCCATCTTGTAGTACTTGCAAAAAAATGCTTTTGTCCTCGTTGTACTTTCGTTGTCCGCCCATGTGTAAAAGACAATCTTATGCGCTTCCCCTCTCGTTTGTGCAGGTCCATCGTGCTCCTCGACGAGGAGGTTGGCGCAGAGGGTGCGGAGAGTCACCCTACAACGGGAGTGGACTACGAAGGAGAGCACGGAGTTGTGTGGGTGATCGTAGCGCTCTAGTGGCGTTCTATCAGAGTTCTTACTACTTGCAGTGTTCACTGAGAAATTTGGCAAGAGTTTCCACTAAGGAAATTGAAAGAACATTGAAAATTGAGAATTAGAGTACAAAGAAGAGCATGCAAGTGATATCACTGGAATGGCATTGCAATCCCTAGCAAGAATTCTGCAAGGCGAATTGCCAGCACTGCATCAGAGCGATTCGCCAACGCTGAAACAGAGCGGTCTGCCGGCGGAGCAGAAGGGCGACATGCCAGCGCTGCAGCAGGGCGGCCTACCAGCGCTGCATTCGCAGGTGAATATCTGCGCAGGTGTGCACCTGCCGAGTAGGTGCAGGTAGACGGTTGCACCGTCAGAGACATTGCGCAGGTGCCAGGTAGAAAACGCTCCGACGGTTTCGTCAGGTGTCCACCGTCGAGCACGTGATGCCATTTCGCAGGTCGAATTTCGCTAAGAGCCACCTGAGCGAATTTCGCATGCCCTTGCAGAGTTTCGCAGTCGCGCGAATTCGGCCAGCCAGTTCGCCGAGATGAGACTCGCCGAACAGCGCCCTTCAATCAGAGAACGGGGCTCCTCGGAAAGCACCCCGTCCGTCAGAGATCGCGCGACCCAGAAGCGGATCAGAAGACGGGCTCGTCGAACAGCACCCCGTCGACCAGAGCTCGTTGATGGGCTGGTGAATCAGAGGACAACCTCCTCGAAAACCACCCGCGGGTTCGGAGGACGGGCTAATCCAATGCGACGATCACTTCGTCAAATTCACCACGTCGTCGCAGAGAATGCCTGCGCCCAAGCGAGGGCGGGGCCTTTCACTCCGACAGAGGGAGGCTTTCGAGATAGCGCGTTGTACGCGGATGAGCGACTTGCAGTGTCACTATTCTGAACATGTACTGGAGAGAGATGCTTACGAGCAGGGCCTGTGCTAGGATTTAGGGCACCCTGAGCCCTCAGGGCAACTTTTGAAAACTTTCTAAAATGCCATGATTTTTCAGGGCAAAAGTCCCTAGCCATCCTGAAATTTCAGGGCACAAGCAGAAATTCATCTGGATGTTTCAGGATAAAAATAACAGGAGGGGAAGGCACGAGAGGAGCAGGTTGTCCAGTGGTTTCGCTACAACTGGCTGAGAAAAAACTTTGGAGGGAGAGGGGTGGGGACAAAACTAGCACACACACCCCCTAGCCTCCTTCCTCCCCTCTCCCCTAATCCCCCTCTCCACCTCTTCTTCCCCTTCCCACGAGTCAGGGCATCCCTCTACATTCACCCTAACGCTTCAGAGCCAATTTTCACTGCCATTCTGAAATTCCAGGGCAAAACACGTGAATCATCCTGACGTCATAGAGTGAATTTCAGCGTCATTCTGAAATTCCAGGGCAAACTTAAAACACCATCCTGAAATCAGGGTAATAAGGATGTTTTGCCCTGATATCGTGGGCCCTGCTTACGAGAACGTTGTCACGGAAGTTTCCGCTCAATTCCGAAAGTATCTTATGCGCTTCTGCTGCGTTTGACATAAGGCCCGCCTTTTCTCAACGGACAACTCTTACGGCGGTGAGCTGAGAAGTCGGCTCGCTTTTTGCGGTGTCCTCATATATTTTCCCAAGAGAACAGCGTGGGAGCCCACTGATTATCGAGGGAACTCATTTCCAATTGTTATGCGTGTAAGAAATTGCAGATCAACACTGTGTAAGCGAATAAGGAAGTTGTAGAATTGGAACTTTCCCCGAAGTCTATCTTTGTAGTACATCTAAATCTGCGATGTTTGCAGGAGGAGCTCAAATTCAAAGCTCCACATGTGGAAGCCCTTCTCGTCGAAGGGGGTGCTTTTATTTAGTTTCAATGGTTTCAAAAACTTATTTTGCACAGCAACTAACTCCTTGAAGTATAATACTTACTCGCATGCAAAGGCTTGAACGTGACAATTGTCAAAGGTGAAAGACCTTTCAGAGTCAACTCTAGGAGGATTTGCGGCTCATTGGCTTTGGGAGTTGTCAATGCTCATCAGCTATAGGCTCTCCGGCACGCTGATGCAAAAAAATGGTTTCTTAGTGATAGCAGTGTCGACGGATGCCACGCGAAAGGGGACCCTGGTTGGCATTGGGCTTGATTTTTCATGCCTCGCCGCTCTCAACACTTCCAATGAGAAGTTATCATAGGACCTTCTAAAAGACCTTTTTTTTTTTTTTTTTTTTTTTGACACATTACGATAACCCGAGAAGTGATTGGATAGGATAAGGGCTATTGAGTTATGACGGCGGAAGTATTGAAGTGGCCTTTGTGGAGAATAGGCGATTGTGGGAGAGCCTAGGCGCAGAGTTGCAAAGCGGGTGCTTGTAAACCGAATACAGACTTGTTGGAAACCGAATACTGATGCCAAGGTTGGTATGCAGTAACTGAAGGAACGAAGTTGATTAATTGATTTATTACAAGGGAAACAACATAAACCTTATAGAGAGCATAATGACGTGTGCAAGAACATTCTACGAGAACGTTGTTCATGAAGAACGTTGTTCAAGGAGAACGTGCAAGCACCTACTCTAGTATGCGGTTCCAGGTTCGCACCGCCAGGTGAAAATACCATCAGGTGAAAATGCCAGAATCAGAACAAGGAATGACTAGAAACAGGGCAGTACAAGGTTTGTATAGGCTAAACCTAACAATACTGTACCCCATAATGAGTGCCCCACTACAGCCTACAATATAGTTCTGACACACCCCCATAGGCAAAGTGGGGGACAAGCAAGAGAACAACGCAAGGTCAAGCCCAGGGTGGATCACAACGTCACCACACAGTCTGAGCACAAGTACAAGGCCACAAGGCCAGTTCACATGCAGGATTATAAATCAAGGTGAACAAGCAAGACAGTGAACTCTACCTAGCAAGGGTAAGCATGCAAGTGCAGGTATATATAGATCACAGTACAAGCAAAGTCAAGAGGTAAGCAAGTGAGGCCAGGTAGGCACAAGACCTAACATAGTACAAAACCGCTGATGATCACAAGGCTGAAGTGCCTTGGTAAAGATATCAGCAGTGTTGGCCCGAGAGGCCACGTAAGCAAGACGAAGCTGACCACGCTGCTGTAACTCTCGAGCAAGGAAATAGCGCAGAGCAATGTGCTTCGTTCTGTGCTCCAGTCTGTGCTCCTGACACAAGGCAAGCATGGCCTTGTTGTCGACGTACAGAACTGGAGGAGAACGAGGCACCTCTACGAAGTCGGTCAGCAGGTAGGTGAGCCAGCGTAACTCCTGTGCAGCCATGGCCCCAGCGTAGATCTCAGCCTCACAACTGGAGCTGAGAACAGAAGACGAGCGGGTAGACCACCACGAAACAGAACCGGAGCCAAGGCTGAAGGTGTAACCCTGTGACGACTGCTGCGTAGCCAAGTCGTCAGCCCAAGAAGCGTCTGCGTGACCAGTGAGGACAACTCGAGCCCGTCCTCCAAGCACGAGCCCCATGCCCGACGTACTGCACAGGTAGCGCAACACCCTCTTAGCTGCATCCATGTGCTCTGGTCGGTGTCTCCCAGGAGCAACATAGCGTGCCAAGATGCTAAGAGGGTATGCCAGGTCAGGTCGAGTGCAGGTCATCAGGTACATGAGGCAGCAAACAAGCTCTGGGTACGGGCCACTCGGCTCTACGGACTCATCCGAAGGCAGAGCTGAGAGTGAGTGGCGAGTAGACAGAGGAGTGGCCTGAGGCGAGGAGTACGTGAAGTTGAAGCGCTGAAGGACCTGCTGCACCATGTGTGACCGAGTCAAGGTAATGGTGCTCTGTGCTCTGTCCCGAGTGATCTGCAAGCCAAGATAGCTGCGCAGTTCACCCAGGTCTGTGCACGTGTGTCTCTTCTGCAGCTCCGACTTCACGTGGGCGAGTCCAGCAGTGTCAGCAGTAGCAAAGACCAAGTCGTCGACGTACACGAGGATGTAGAACGGCGGCAGAGTAGTGTCG